CCTATTTATGCAGTTTCTCATTTAAACATGGCGAGCCTGTTATAGTATCAATTACATTTAGACACTGAATATTCATTGAACTGCACTTCTTACCTCGATCCTGTCCATGTCATGAGGACATGCAACAAACCAAGAAGCAACAGGCTAGAAGTACAAGCAGTGGTCGGCAACCAATTTATTGCCATGCATTAACATTGATAAATCACTGCAAAGCATTACTAACACTGAGGACAAACGTAAAGAAGTGTTTGGTTTACATACTCAAAATCAACAAAACTAGCATAACTTTACCATGCTAACATTAGCCAAACAACACACCCCATGGAGTTTACTGGAAAACTCCAGACTCATCTGTATAACAAATACAGACAGATATCCTTCTGGATTTCCAGGCAACTGTTGGAGATTTCATAGCCCCAAAATTAACTGAACTCTGGGGCCGTCAAGACACTTAATAGGCTATTTGCTTGCCTTATATTTAGATTAAGCTCCATCTCCAGCCTGATGAGTCAAGATTATTATATTATATAGTCAATATATATTTACTGGATGCTCATAATTATCTACTGATTTCTTATCTTATTTCTCCTGACTGACTTGATCCTTCTTCCATGTTTAGTCCCTCCCAAGAACACTCGTGTTGTGGTATCTCCTCCTCGGGACATTAGAGAAGGATCCTATGTTAACCTGAGCTGCAGCAGCCAAGCCAATCCTCCTGCCAGCAGGTAGGTACATAGTTGGTTGATTGACTATAACGTCTCTAAATGCAGATACATTCCATTTGCAAGCTGATCTGACAGTTGAGTGCCCTCAGTCCAGCACCAGACCAGGAATTATAGTGCACCTCTTTGATTTCCTTCTCTAGGTTTACATGGTACCGTGTGCGGGGCGACCAGGCGTTGGTTCAAGGAAGTGTCCAAAACCTGACTTTCCCCTCAGTCCGTGCTCATAATAGTGGACAGTACTACTGCACAGCATGGAACCCATTAGGATACCAGACCTCCCCATTCACCACACTGACCATCCTCTGTGAGTGGCTGTAAAAAGCAAAAATCTGTTATACCATAATTATAAAACCTAATCTTTAGCTATTGTTTCCTCAGATCCTCCGAAGAACACTTCAGTTTGGGCCCGTCCTTCCAGTGTGGTGGATGCTGGCCGACCCCTGACCTTAACCTGTAGCAGCCAGGCCAACCCAGCGGTGGACAACTTCACCTGGCATCGCTTACCTATGGAGGGAAGCTCTGGGCATTGTGAGCATGAGAGAAAGGGCTGCATACTACACATCAACTGTATTATTACCCCAAACATATTTAAACACAAAATAGCATTGATAATGATTGATATTGATAATGGCATAATTATAATAACAGTCCCCCCAGTAAATCTTTGTAATGGCTGTTTAAATTATTTTTCAAAGACAGCCTCCTCTCAGTTTGTAGAGTCCTTATAGTAAATGTTGTAATATAATTTTAGACATATATTCTGCTGTTCTTTGTATTTGTTCAGACCTCGTTTAGTACTAGTTTAGTACTGTTTCAGATATGGATCAGATCTTGCGGTACTCAGCAGAAGACTTAACTGCTTTAATATAACCCTGGTTTTGCTTAAGTATATTTTAGTGGGCACATTGTTGTCATTGTTATCATTTTAGTCACTGTATGCAGTTCATGTCAGTGTAAACTCTAAATCTAAGAACACAATTTGACCTTCTAGCTCTTCTGTAGCTCATTTGTTCTGTATTTGCAGCATGGGGCATAAGGTCTGGTCCTGTCTTCAGCTTCTCTGAGGTTGGTCCTGAAGCGAGTGGGCGGTACTACTGTGAGGCCAGGAACCGAATTGGAGCCCACAGCTCTCCTGTTCTGACCGTGAGAGTCCGAGGTGGGCACTGATCCTGTTCTGTTTGGGCTTGAGAAACATGGTCCTTTTTATAAGGTACTGAGGTTTCCCTTCAAAAGCATACTGGTGTTAACAGTAGTAGTAGAGATGAGGTGTTGCAGAGTGGTTTAGTATAATGGCTTCATATAGCTGGTTTTGATTATTTATGTAAAATACATTTTCTCTGTAGTTTTTACTGTATTATTTCACAATTTGTTTTTTTTCACAGACCTAGCACAACAAGATGAGATCCATCACATGAATTCAGGATCAGAGTTTAAATTGGCTCAGTTCAGAAACCAGTAAAAGCAATATTCATTTGTTTAAATATGCCTGGCCAAAATTGGACTGAAGAAAGAAAAATAACATTTCTTATATAAAATTGCATGTAAAAGTATACATGAAAAGTAACTAGTAATACAAATATCAAGTAATACAAATGGGAAGTGACTCTTTGCTGAACACCTATGGCTTATATTTTCAGTAAAAGGTGATGAAATGTTTCTGTCACATTGAGGTCCATTTTCTGGTCATCTTTGTAAATGTCGTGATGATTACAGTGTTGTTTCTATGAGTCATGGTGCGTCCCATTAAGCCCTCTGAATATGAGGGGAGAGAGCGCGAGGTGATGAGGTGTTGTGGAAAACTGCTATTTGAGTCTAGACAGCTAAAGAAGTGGACTTAGGTTTGGAAATCACAAGTGGAAACACGAGTATCAAGTCTAGACACCAGCAAGAGGATATCCCATTTTTCACTTTCTCTGTTACCATTAATACATCTGCTGTATTTCTATTCAATATATTCTTACCCAATTTCCTCTATAGTCAACCTCATAACCTTTTTTTTGCTCTGTTAGGTCGGCTAAAGGTCATTGCCCTCGCCTCTGCTGTGGGTGTGTCTGCAGGACTCATCACACTTACTGTAGCTGTTATGATAAGGTAGTTATGCATACTAATGCCTAAATGCCCATACTACACTACATACTGTTGAATTAAATCACTATTCAATATTGTTTGTGTACAGTAAAAACATGCACAGAGTGGACATAGAGTCTGCAGAAGTTCCAACAAAGGTATATGCATTTTTCACATTGCAGTTAGTCCAAAGGAAACTTATTTATATTCACAGTTTACTTGGCTGTTTTGGCTTGCTTATTCTGGCCTGGAATCACATTACAAAACATAACAAGGAATATTAAACAATGTGTTAAAATATCATTGAACTTTAAGCGTAAATTTTGATGTTCCATTGTTTATAATACTGTTTCTATATTAATGATGACAGCTTTATTTTCTGTCAGGTGTGAAAACATGTTTTATAGTCATTATTATTAACTAGCAAATGCAATGTATGAGGGTTAGTTGTATGAATAATTGACTTGTCTTCATGGTTTTGTGGGTCCAGCGCGCATCAGTCACAGCTGAAACTATGTTTTATGAGTCACCCCAACACCAAAAGAGAAGAGGCAGAATGGACAATATCCCGGTATGCCATAAATAATACTTAAATTTTTTTGTCTAGAGTTTTAGTTGATATGTGTGTTTGTCCGAAAGGAAGAACCAGAGGACTTCAATGATCGTTCACACCCGGACATTGTTCCTCTGAAAGATGCTCCACCGGTCACTAATGTCAAGGTCCCCAGCTGTGCGTCAGATTACATCACAGTCCATTTTTCCAAAGCTTCCAGGTCTGTGAACTCTTTTTTTCCCTGTCAGATACTTCTATGCTGTTCAGTATTGTTAATAACTTTATTTTAAGATTTTGTTTTATTATATTCATTTTATTTTACAATTAGTGGCCGTACCACCTATTGCACTGTTCTCTTTTAGCACGTACCCTTCCATCAGTTGCACTTTTTACTGTTTTCACTCATTTCATATTCACTTTCTCCATTTTACTTCTGCTCTTTGTGATGTCTCACACCCCTGTTTATGATCAGACTATAAATCTTATCTCAGTTATGATTTTGAGTTCAAAATGTGATAAATTGAACCCCTGATGATCTGAGTCAGATGTCCAGACAAGCTCATATGGTTTCTGTTTGTCATTGTGAATCTGTTTAGTGCTGAACAGGTGCACTTCACCAACATGCCACTAGGTGGAGACAGGAAAGCTCAGGCCTGTACAAAAGTCGTTTACTCCTCGCTGCCTCAGTTTCGCAACTAACTGCAACTTACTGTAGGTGAGAAAATGTAATATTGCACCATTACTCATGAATATAAATTTCCCTTTAATTACAATAATTAAACAAAAGTTCAATTTTTTCCAGATTTCTTTAATCAAGAGGATGACCACAAAGAACCGATGTGCTTTGAGGACAAGTTGATACTGTGACCTTTGACACTATTAATAAAATCTGCTTATTCTAACTTTCAATTTCTTTGTGTATGTTGGTGACAGATAGAAAACTGTGATTTGTCATAACAGTACTTGGCATACAAATTCTGTTGTTGTGCCCTACAGTGAGATAAGAACTTTGTAGTTGTCCAGTAACTGCAGAGATGTTGACTAAACTGAAACTTTTGCAAAAAGGACATGTCTTGCCCCAAATCTGACTTTAAGCAAATTTAGCCCTCAGAAAATTATTAATATATATATATTTTTTATCTGATCCATCTCAATCACAACTGGAGATAGAAAGTTAACCAGAGAGCAGTTCCTTAAAGCTAACCAATTTTCTAAAATTTTGACTTTTTGGACCCAGCCCAGTCTTGGATGTGTGTGTCTCTGTTTATATATTTCATCTCAATCACAAACCCCATAGGCCCTGTGAAATGTTAATAACATCATAAGAACATAACATGCCGACACTGGCCAAGACCTCGACTCTGCCACTGTGTCATTAAAAAGTCCAAAATGTCCCTGATCTTTTTTTGTTGGTCATTGAGAAAACAACCTTACTATAATGTGTGATGTTTGGCTGGTATGTGGTATGTTATGGATAAAATAATTCTATTAATATTGGAAATATTGCCATGTTGACATGGCCCTTCAGTTACAAAACACTTGGTAATGTTAAGTTGCATTAAAAATAAACAACTAGTGAAACTGCTGAAAACTGAAAGGAAATTATGCAAAGCATAATGCAGCAGAAGAAATTGTGGAAAACACACAGTTACTTCTGCTTTTCACTTGACAGTAATAGTTTTAGTCTGGTGATCAGATCTAGTGGGTTGAGTCCTTCAGCTGAGCTTCAGGTTTAAATATTTAACAACATTTTTAAGGCAGAGGATTTTCTTTATGGAGCACCTTTTCCCCATTGTTCTCATATTTATTCCAGGTAAGAAAACACTGCATTTGTAACTGTTAGTAAAAATTAACAATAACATTAATCTAACACAATATTTTTTCTCAGGTGTCTGGAGTGGAAACTGGCAGGTGACAATGAAGAGTCTATGTGCTTTCAGGGGGTCAACAGTTACGATACAATGCTCCTATGACTATCCTTCCTGGCACTTTGTCAAAAATGTTAAATGGTATAAAGGACGCTGGGTTTCAGGTCATTTTACTTTTGACCTTTTGACATCACCACACTTTGAATATGTTGGTGACAACAAACATGACTGTTCCCTGAAGATTAAGAATATTCAACGAATAGACGAAGGACCATACTACTTCAGATTTGAAACATATTTGGACAGATGGAGGAGTGAGGCTGTCTATTTATCTGTTGATGGTAATATCACATGATTCCTTTAATGTTTTATTTAGTTAAAGTTCCATTCTATAATGATATGTCTGTTTTTTGTAGATTTAATTGCTTCTATAAAGTCACCAGTGGTAACAGAGGGAGAGACCGTGACACTGACTTGCCATTCAGGGTGCCACACAGATAATCAGTTTGTATGGTACAGAGAAGAACAGAAAGTGACACAAACACGTTTCATAGCGATGAGAGAGCAAGCTGGGAGGTACACTTGTGCTTTGTTGGGACAAGAGCATGTCCAATCTTCAGTATCTCTAAATGTACAATGTAAGTAAAGGCAGAATGAAATACACATATTCACTGCAGATTATTATAACTATTGTGACTATCTCTCAGATGCACCAACAAACGTGAAGTTGTCCATAAGCCCATCAAAAGAGGTTATACAAGGCAGTGCAGTTATCTTTACCTGCAGGAGTGAGGCCAACCCCAGAGTGACATCTAGTGGCTACAGTCTGTATAAAGATGGAAGTGTTATCAGTTTTGGACCAAACCACACAATTTCTGAGGTTCAGCCCAGTGACAGTGGACAGTACTACTGCCAGGCCTGGAATAACATCACCAGGGCAGGCAGCAAGCTTTTCCAGTCCTTTAAAATCAGTGTAAATATTTTGTGTAAGTATAAAGCAAATACTACATAAATCAGTATTACTAATATACTTTTATATTATGGTTTATATTAAATGTACAGTTATTAAAGCCTATTAATAGCATTTAGCATAGCATAATAAGTGATTTCTTAATCTGGGATCACGAGGTGCACTATGTACGTTATCTTGTGGGGTCCACCCGTGCTTGTCTCTCTTGCTTTGTCTGAAATATTTTACAGTATGGTATAAACTTATATATGATTCAATTGTAAGCATTAAAAAAAGTCATCTCCATAATTACAGGGAGAAAACGTACATAGAGCACTTTTAACTGCATTTAGCAAAACATATTACGAACCCAAACAAAGGTGGCAATTAAAAAATAAAAAATAAAAACATGACATAATAATATTTGCATCTCCTGGATCAGTTATCTTGTATTTTTACAGATCCTCCCACAAACATTTCTATTTCAACCGAGTTAACAGAAGTCATAGAAGGCAGCGATGTGAACCTGACTTGCCACAGTATCGCAAATCCCTCAGCTGTTGGTTTCGTTTGGTATAGAACCAGCTCCTCCTCTGTGGTCCAGCTGGGCTCTGGGCCAGTCTTGTCTTTGTCCCCTGTGGAAGCATCCAGTTCAGGACTTTACATGTGCCAAGCATCAAACAGACTCGGAGAAAACAACTCGACTCAACTGCTGCTGTCTGTGAAATCCAAATACTGTATGCTATATTTATGCACTGTATTTAAAACTGATACCTTTACTCGTACTGTAGAACTAGGACTGTGTAAATAATTGAATTTCAGTCAAAATTGTCAAGGATCTGCTTGGGCTTTTTCATCAGAGGTCCACAGCGAATCATCTGTCAGTAAAAGTTTGCATTTTAAAGCAGAATTCAAATTTTGAAGTAGTACAATTTGCTATTTTATCTGTTAAATTATTAAATGTTTAGTTTTAATAAGAAGGAAGTGCACACTCATCATATTGCTTTAATGTTCTCAATGTTGTCTGTTTTTAGCTGCTTCTTCCTTCCCCATCTTGGCAGGAATTGGTGTGTCCCTTTTGTTTGCATTTGTGTTAGCACTCCTCTTGTACTGGTGAGTCAAAGTACTGAACTAATGTTTCAGATTTTTTTCATAAATAACGTAGTTTATGCATAATGAAATACTCAATGTTGGAATTACAGGAAAAAACAAAAGAGGAACCAAGACGAAGTAAGTTAGAGCTGCGGTGACGACAGTGACGTGAAACAGACTTCCACAATGTAACCTGAATTTTTCAGTCATTTAACTATTTTGTCTTATTTGCTCTTTAACACTAAATCCCAGAGTCAGGAAACATCAGGATTAAGTGAAGGAGACAGTTATTCAGATGCTATTAACACTTCAGACAATATTTACGCCAATGCCCTCATGTTTCAGACGCCTTCATCTAAAGAAGATGTAAGGAACCACGTTATTCAGTTTTCAAATGTCCAACATCCTGCTCATCATTATTTTCTCTCCTCTTAGTACTCATCTTCAGAAGAGGTTTTTTACACAACAGTGACCATCAGACCCAAAAAGCCAACTTGCCAAAGTCACATAAAGTAAGCTTTTTTGTTTTTGTTTTTTTGTTTCATCTTATTTATTTTTTTGAAAGATTTAAGAAGCTCATACAACTCATCCTTACTTCACAGAACAACCCCAGAGAAGGACTCTGTGATCTATGCTACAGTTGCTAAATCTAGCTAAGAAATAAAGGTTTGTCAACAATGTCAACAATCTATCAGTGTATTCAAGTCCTAAAACATACAGTTTAATGTATAATATTTTTGTATATATAAGTATTTATGTTGTAATACATTTTAAAATACATTATAAAATGTATTGTATTAAATTCTGTGGTGCAATAAAATTTAAATGACAAAAAATTATTAACAATTTTTTTTTTTTTTATTAATACAATGCAGATTTGTATTTTACATTTGATATATGCACATTCTTACATTCATTTGATTTTAAACTAGGAAGAGCAGGATAGGTGATTTTTGTCATTGTATTCTCTGTTGCACAAAGTTGTTTTCTTACACAAGACAAACTAATATTTACAAAACTACAAAAAATACTGTTTTGAAAACCTCACAGAGTTATGAATCAAGCATTTTAATTTTTAGGCACATAACATGGCAGGAACAGACATCCTAACCAAGGATAAATAAGGAATAGTGGCTTTAAAAGTGGCTGTGTGTTTAGGATAGTACTGGCTGTCTTAAGGGGGCACAAAAATTTACATTTTTATCCTGAAAAAATCCTTCACAGTTTGTAATACAAGACACACACACAGAAAACATTTGGTTGCTTTCATTTGTGTCTTCTGTATTTGATGCAGCAAGGATCAAGAGTCCATCAGGAGTTTGATACAGTTGTCAAACCAAGTTTGGTTTGGGATTTTCAGTCCGGGCCATTTTGTGAACTCCTGGTGAGTTGTAATAATTCTGCAAGATCAAAGTTTGCAGTTTGTTAATAAGAAAACACTCATAAACTCATAAAATGTGAGTCTTACTGACCCTCATTGCAGTGGATATCCAGGGTAGGAAGCGGGACACTCTAGTGTACACTCCAGGTTTTTTTGGCATCGCACAACCTGTTCCCCAACTCACCACCCCGAGTAGACGATACCGACTTGTCTTGGAGAGACAGTCTTCAGCCACAAAAGGACCACCACTGTCTCCCTGAAAACACAGGAGATCAAAGATCAAACCAGACTTCATTACATGCTTTAAACTACAGAGCACTTCTGACCTGACAGGCATCTATGCCCCCTTTCTCAAAGCCAGCACAGAACATGGTGGTGGTGATCTGGTTGTCATAATAATCTGGAGCGTTACACACAGTGTCACTGATGATGGGCACGTGGGCCTCCTGAAGGACATCCGCCAGATGACCTGAGTGTGACCCCCAACATTTATTCCCAACTTTGTATCAAAAATATTGTAGTATCAAGTCATGTTACATGGAGGCTGAGGACTTACCATAGTACCCCACGTTTCCCCAACCTGTGACCGTCCCCATTTGACCGTCAATTAGTCTTTGACCATAAGTTGGCAGGCACACAGGCTGGATGTATTCTGAACACATATGATACATAATGAAGATTCAATAAAGTCCACTGCCTTTTAGTTTGACAAATAAAGCAGCAGACACAAAAAAAATAAGAATAAACTGGCAATTAAAAAAAACTACCACTAGATGTCAGCCTGGATCTACTTTTATATGAGGTAGTGTGGGTGTTTAAGTGGACCTCATTTTTAGAGCAGGGGTAAATGTCATGGACACCTGAGAACCATGATTACAATCACAGAAACATCCAGGACAGTTGTCCTGTGCCACAGGGACAGGGAGCAAAATTAGACCCTATCATTTTATTATACTCTAATGTGGACTCCTCTTCTAGATATTGTCCAGGGCCTCATCAACTTTCACAAAACATGCTAGATTACAATTAAGTGGTCATAATAAAGTATGTTTTGTAATTCAAGACAGCCAGCATAAATGCAATGGAAGCATCTTGTCCAATCTTGATACTATTGTGTGGCATAAAGAGCTACTGTCCAGCTGACTTTTGTACAAGAGTCTGGAAACCTGAAGCTTTTAATTGACAACAATTGTCTCCACAGTATGTCACGTTTCTCAGTCTTGCTCTGTAAAATGAACCACTGGAGGTTAGTTCTGTATGTTGCTATTTTACCATTGAAAGTCAGAGGTTGAGTCAGAGCCAGGACAGCGATATCACGGCTGTTGTCATCGATGTTGGAGTCGACAAATGGCAGGTAGCTGCTGTGATACACAATGGTTTTTACTTCAGCCACATTTGCGTTCACAGGTTTATTGTAGATGGACCCCAGAAGAACTCGCCAGCGGTTCACAAAGCGATATCGCCTGCCAACAACAAAAAATCATATGTACAATAATGAAGCCTGATAATAAATTTATAAATGGTTTATTTAAAAATTAATTTATAAAGGCACAATTTAGGCCAGTTTCCAATCTGTATCTCGGGAGCTACTAGTAGCTCTCCACCTCCTTCCAAGTAGCTCACCAAGGGATTTCTGAATTATACGTATTGCTCTAAATAACTCAGATTTAACTGATTAAACGCCTATTTCCACTGTGGATGTATTATTTTGATGCCTAACTTTGTGCACTAAAAAAAGTTAAAAAGTTAATAATGGTGTATGTTTTATAGGCATTTAACTGTACCTCTTCTATGATTTGCCATGACTCTTATATTTACTTAATTTCTGGCAAACGCTAAAATGAGTAGCTCTCTTGTATTTTTATTTTACTAAAAGTAGCTCACAGAAGGAAAAGGTTGGAGAACCTCGATTTACACAAATATTAGTATTAGTATATATTATAGTTCTATAGGATTCCTTGAATGAACATGAGTAGAGTTGGATTCTACTTAGAAGTTAGATAATAAAATATATAAAAATAGGCTACATTATTTACAAGTTGTATACGCTATATGCCATCATATTTATTTGACCATTTAAATGGAGATTTGACTAAAAATGACAAAAAGCCCAATGCAACTTAATGGCCTTATGATTGTACAGCCTTGTTAAATATCTGTTAAGGACTCACTCGGGAAAGCAGTGAGCAGCCGATACGATCCAGCGGTTGGAGATTATGGAGCCTCCGCACTGGTGCACCCCGTCATACTGCAAACTGACCTGCCATGGCCAGCTGCCCTGTCTGCTGTCCAATCCCCCCACAATACGGTCTGCTGCAAAAGTACGCCTCCCACAGTCTAAGGCACAGATAACAATCAATACAAATATTGCATACAGTGTTTATTGGTGTACAAATATTCTTGGTGTTTTGGTTTTGAACACACCATTACAGTGGATTACTTGTATGTGTCAAGTTTATTATGTATATTTCCATTGGTGGATGAAGTACTCAATTCTGTTACTAAAGTAAAAGTACAGATATCAGGGCAAAAGATTACTTAAGTAAAAGTATCAGATGTATCACAACGTATCACAAGTATCACTACATAGATTTTTTTTTTTAAGTTTTAGAACAATAAAAGGATGAAAAGAAATGATTTTGATAATAGTGGGTTCAATTAATGGATTCACTTAATTTGTAAATTTTTCTAACTGCTTTGTGTTTTTGTGTGTTTGGTTTGATCAAAGTTGGGTTGTTAACTCAAATTAAATGTGCTAAAAATAAGTCTAAGCCTTTTCAGCAGGGAAATGTAGTGTAAAATGTAGTGGAGAAGAATGTACAGACACGTGCTCTCAAATGAAGTAAAAGTAAAACGTATCCACCATAAAATGTACACAAGTAAAGTACAGATACCTAAAAATTATACTTTTACTTTTGTACTTCATTATTGTCTACCACTGCATATTTCAGAGTAATGAAACTGCACTTTACCTTGGCACAGTACTGTCAAGACTTCTCTACTCTCACAGTTACTAGAAGAAAAACAATCCAGACATTTGGTATTTAGTTCAGCCAAATTCAAATTCTGATTTTTTGTTTTTACCATGGGAAAAGTGAATCTTTGATTTTCTTGCCGTAGCTGAGCTCGTCTGTTCTGACGCAGAAAAACTCTCCTCCATCTCCACTGGCGTCCGGAACAGATGTGATGGAGTAATTCACCACACTGGAACGTTCATACAGTGTTTATTACCCCTACAAGATGCACATTGCACAATAATATGTCTTATGTTGCTGCTCTCACCTAACAAACCCAACTTCCTCGCAGATGATGCTCGCCAGCAGCTCATTGGTCGAACATGAACAGACCTGGCGCCATCTTTTTTGGGCTGAGTCAAAAACTCTGAGGCGCTGGTCAGGTGAGTTTACCTGGACTGTGACCATTTTGTTGTTACTCATCACACCAAACACTGTCCAGACCTTTGCTCTCAGGTTCTTGCAAATACACAATGTAATCACACATTATGATTTACTTACCATCATAAAACCCAGTTTCTTCCTCCATTGTACAATATGAAACTGAAAAAGACACAAATGGTATTATTACTTGGTTCAAAGTTTTTTGGTTAGATCTTATGCTTTTGTGGCTGTATTGAAAAAAGATGCCCCCTGACCTACGGCCCAGACAGCTGCCCCGATGGCTCCCAGGGTCATGAGTATCACACAAACCCCAATAACGCGGCACGGAGTCAGCACACAGGTCAGAGAGATTGCCCTGCTCCCTAAAACACACACAAGAACATAGATCTGATCCCCACTGGTCTCTGTAGCATGAATAATCCTAATGATGATATTAATGTAATCTTACATATATATATTTTGCATTTATAAATACCACAAAACAGCCTTGATAGCATGATAGTACCACCTAAAACACTACTACAATACTTGAATTACATAACTCAAGAACAGAAAATTAAATATTAGCAATCTGTATTGTTCATCTACCAATTAATGGAATATATTTAGGGAAAAAATAGCAGACAAGATATAATTTTGACTATTGCCCTACTTTATTGAGTGAACCGCTAAAAATGCCCATCTCCTTGTCTACTGGCATAACAGCAAATTTTCTGACACTGGCCAAAAAGTACAAGTGACACCGACTGGATCAATAGTCTAAAGTTTGACTATTTTAAAGCCAGTACAAACTCTTCAGTGCAACATGCACAGAGCCTATTTCTTTAATCATAGACAAGAGACAAGCTGACCTACAACAACTCTATCAAGTCTGTTTGAATTGAGGGAATTAAGTGTACACAATATGTTGCAGCAATTTTGATTTCTTACACATGACTCTTTTTTGTTTAAATGTTTGCCTTTTTTGCTATTTCACAAATAGAATAATTCATTAGTTATTCACACAAGACGTATTTGAATCTGTTGATTTTACCTAACTCTTTAAATGAGACCACTGTATATATCAATAGCTACAGAAAAAAAGTACAAAAATATACTGTAAAGTGCATCTATAACACTGAAACTCAACAGAAATAATTATCTGTAAACAAATAAGCAAATGCAGAATCATAACTGCTGCTATGAAAACAGAATGGTGGTGCACATAGGGCCACAGTGAGGTGAGTTTAGATATCTCTATTATGAGTAGTTCAGGTCACAATGAGAATAGTTTCTAAGCTAATATAATCGTGTACATGTATTACTATAGATTTAGTAATACATGTACATGATTCATCACAACATACAGTGATTTGCAAACTGATTTAGCATGGGTTATAGGATGGTCAAAAATCAGATACTAATCGATACGAAAACTAGTATCAAAACTAGAAACTTATATTAGCAGGTATTGATAGTAAAAAAAAAAGTCGCTTTCACAGGACAGAAATTAACCTTTCCTGAATGGCATTAGAATGAGTTATAAGCTCACATAGACTAGTACACACTCATGGACTACAATGAAACCTACCTAGACAACTGAGGGATTACACAGATATAAGGCCACAGGGTAATGAAGAAGAAAATACTTTATTTTAATATTTAACTTATTTCATGTTGAAAATTACTTTCTATTGTCTAAATAAAGAGTGTTTTATTGGTACTGAATATCGAGTCTATTCCTTTCAGATCTAGAGTTTGAAATTTTAGTACTGTATTGTACAACACTAATGAGTTATACTCAATACCTTTTCATACAGACACCCTAGGCAGACAGACAGCTCAGATTTGTAAACAAAAAAAAACAAAAACATTGTACTATGACACAATAATACACTACATTACACAACAGAGACTATGTAATTATAGTGTCTGTTCTTTCACATATGTATCATCAAAAGGGCCCATTAACACATCATCACATCCAGGGCCGTTACTGGCCATTTGGGTGCCCTAAGCACAAAAGCTTTGTGGTGCCCCACCACAACACCCCACCCTGCCCTGCCCAGAATGAACAATAATTAAGAATTTATCAGTGTGATTTGCTTTATTTCCAAAATAAATCCACCAAACATGAAAGTTAAAATAATACATTATTTAAAAAGAGCAATAAATAAATACCACCACCACATTATAAACAAAGGTTTGTGCAGTGACTTCAGACTGACATTGAACTGAACATTGTAAACACAGAACAAGTATGTATCCTTGTATGCAGTGGTGGCTGGTTGTATAATTTTTTTTGTAGGGGCGCCTATATATATATATATATATGTATATATATATATATATATATATATATATATATATATATATATATATATATATATATATATATATATATATATATATGTGTGTGTGTGTGTGTGTGTGTGTGTGTGTGTGTGTGTGTGTGTGTGTGTGTGTGTGTGTGTGTGTATATGTATATATATATATATATATATATATATATATATATATAGTATATATATATATTTATCAGAGCACAACACACAGCCAAGCGCAAAAAGTTTATGCAACACACCACTCACAACCAGCCCCAACAATACAACACACCACTCACAACCAGCCCCAACAATACAATGTAACACACCACTCACAACCAGCCCCAACAACACAACGCAACACACCACTCACAACCAGCCCCAACAACACAATGTAACACACCTCACAACCAGCCCAACAACACACGCAACACACCACTCACAACCAGCCCCAACAACACAACGCAACACACCACTCACAACCAGCCCCAACAACACAATGTAACACACCATCACAACCAGCCCCAACAACACAACGCAACACACCACTCACAACCAGCCCCAACAACACAATGTAACACACCACACAACCAGCCCCAACAACACAACGCAACACACCACTCACAACCAGCCCCAACAACACAATGTAACACACACTCACAACCAGCCCCAACAACACAACACACAACTCACAACCAGCCCCAACAACACAATGTAACACACCACTCACAACCAGCCCCAACAACACAACGCAACAACTCACTACAACAGCAATCAGCAACAACACAATGTAACACACCACTCACAACCAGCCCCAACAACACAACGCAACACACCACTCACAACCAGTCCTAAAAACACAACGTAACACACCGCTCACACCCAGCCCCAACAACACAACATGATCCACAGCTCACACCCAGCCTCAACAATGTCAGCAAAACTAGAATAAGAGGCTACGGTCACAACACGAACACATGGCATCAGTGCCACTCATACAACACACCTGGCAGAACATGGGAGCGGCTCTGCCGCACCCACAAGCTCATTCACACACTATTTGCCTGTGAGGCTCTGTCACCAGATTTGCCCTAAACTAATGAAAACAAGCCCCTTACCTTCTCCAGAGGACTGAAGCAAAGTGTGTCCTCTATCCACTTTCTGTCTCCAAAAGTGTATTATTGTCTAGTATGAAGAAATGAAACTAGTCTAAGTCCCAGTCCAGTCAGGTCTGTGATGTGCGGTCCAGGAGTCTTAATCCTAATTCCAATTTAAGTCTGGAAGTTACGGCCAATAAATATTACGACACCAGGCAGGCGCTCAGGTGAAACTTTTCTGCCCAAAAACAAGCAGACAGAGACTTTGATACAGCAGCGAGCGAATGCCCGGTTGCTTTTGTATTGCTTATACACAGTGTTGGGAGTAATGTATTATAAAAGTAATGTATTACAGTAATGCGTTGATTTTTGCTGTAACGCAGTAATGTAAGGCATTACAGGGGGAAAAATTTTAATATTTTACTCGGTACAAATGTGAGTAACGTGTGTTACAATGCTTTTTAACCTGGATTGAAGTGGTGGGTTTTTCTTCATAGAAATTCGCTAAAATCACCGTGAAATCAGCAGCGGTGAAACGCCGGAGACGCGGCCGGATAAACCTTCAGTTAACCGCGGGTGAAAGGACCGACCCAGAACTCTACGCTGTTTAGACCTGGTTTAGACCTGGGTCACTTCTGGTTTAGACCTGGTTTACAGTCGTCCCTCGCTCTAACGCGATTCACTTTTCGCGGTCTCGCTGTTTCGCTGATTTTTAGATTTATTTTTTTTTGTGCAATTTTGCATGCCTTTTGTTTTTAGTGTATGAACACGTATTGCGTTCCTCCCGCTGCGTCCTGATCGGCTAAGGGACTCCTGTCTCCTCTACAGTACAGTACAGAATATGTTCAGCTGCCAAATTTAAATAAATGTTCAATCTGTATCAGTGTGATTCTGAAGTGCTGTATGTCTGCAAGTTTTCTCTCCGACAAAATCCACAACGTCGACGAAATGTTCTACACCGACAAAGTCTCCTGCGCTCACACCCAAAAGACAGAGGAAGATGCAAACCATCGCACAAAAAGTTGGACTTCTGGACACGTTGAATGAAGGTAGAAGTTACGCGCTGTAGCAGAGTTTTGCACCGGGTCTTGTACCCGCAAATATTTGCTGAAATCAGGACCGTGAGCCCCCGCAGCAGGGTCCATAAAGCGCGATCGGGCGACAGCAGCTCTTACCTCCATGAGGTGCGGAGCAAAGCCGGTCCTTTCTCCTGCGTCACCTTCGAGCCCGTCCCGACAGTGAGTCCTGTTTTAGTCCTAGTTCAGTTCTGGTTTAGTCCTCCTCTTCAGTCCTGGAATCAGTCTGAGGTTAGTCCTGTTATAGTCCTGGTTTAGTCCTGGTTCAGCTCTGGTTTAGTCCTGGTTTAGACCTTGTTTAGTCCTGGTTCAGTCCATATACGGCTCAAAAGTTCAGCTTTTTCGCAGTTATTTTGGTGAGAGTAACTTAAAGTAATGCAATAGTAATGTAATGCCTTACATTTCATTTTAAATGCAGTAATATTGTAATGTAACGAATTACTTTGAAATGACAGTAATAAGTAATAAATAACGCATTACAGTTTTAAAGTAACTTGCCCAACAGTGAACTTATACATATTAACATGCTTTACACATACTTAACATACAATATATATCGTTACTAGTACCGAGCCTAAACGTTATTATAGCAATATATATGCTATACTGACCTTATATACAGTAGTAGCTCATATCTGCTGCAAATGTATAGCCTATTCAAATTCTGCCAAACCATTTTAAAGTTTTTTTTAAAGATCCTATATTACATGAAACTGAGTTTTAAGTTATGTTATAATGCTGTTACCCTCAAAACCATACCTTGAGTTATGTTGTGTTTCAGTCACATATTTCAATCCCCAGAACTCAAAATGCTCTGTTCCACCTTGTGATGTCATAAAGACAGTTGTTTTTTTTTTGGTTTGTTTGTTTGTTTATTTTATCTTTTGTTGCAATTTCAGGGCTGAAATTATCCAAATAATTCTATTGAAGGTGTATAGAGTTTAAGCACTTCCTTCCTATTACCACATGACATCACCAGTATGAGGGTTTGTGTGTTAAACATGTATGAATGAAACAACACACAAATCCAGGTATGTTTGTGATGAGGAAAGAACATCATAACATAGATCAGAAAATAGTACAAAACCTTGCACTTCCATCTCAACCAATTAACTCAATTACTTCCAAAATGTGATATGCACTCAAATATATTTAAAAGGTATATCTTAAAAGTAAATTAATATACTCAATACTCAATATAAAACAGTGACGGCCAAATGGTTCATGATATTCTTAAATGATATCGTTCCTTGTCTTTTCACCCTCTTCAGTCACACTATCCAAAAGCCTCATACCTAGGAATGCTTCTTCCATCAACATCTATCTAACACAATAATCATGTTATTGTTCAAGGATTTTGCTGCAGTGAATGCCTGAACGATCACATAGCAATGAGGAGGAAGTAGCCTTATGCATCTGCCAAAATAATAATTAAATACACTATTATGTTTAAACTTGTTATTTTCCTTTGTTTCGAGGATTCACTTTTTTCACTGTATTTAAACTTCCATGATTTTTCTCTTTTTTTTTTTATTACCAAGTACAGGTCAGAGCAGAACAAATGGGCTTTTGTTTCTACTTCTACCTGAGAGCAGCTTCCTGTGAGTGCCTTTGTTCAAGCGCTCCAGCCACAACATACCATGTTCAAAATCTAATTCTATGCAGCCAACATATACATCATGCAATTAGCAAAGATGTCATTTTTGTGCTTTATCATAAATAAACAATAAGTTATCATTAAATAGTACACTCCATACAAATATGGCAAATTCACAGGGCTGGTTGATATGTTTAGAGGGTACCATACATCCATACATATTTTCAAGAATTCATCAGACCTCACTTTTAGTTAATTTTTTTTTTATTTTTTTTATTTCTGACTTTAAGTTATCCTGTGCAAAAATGTGCATTTTTGCAGTTGAATTACTTATAGATTAAATACTACAATGCTTTGTAAATATAGTAGACAGTTAAAAATAGCAGCTGTGCCACGTTGTGTGAGCAGAGTGAGGCGTGGCCATGGCCAATGTGAGAAACACTGGAGACACCACGAGTCTGACTCACTGTTACCATAAAGACGAGAAGAAATAAACAACCGAATGTCATAAATATTAGTCTGCTTACATCCATATGGGCTATAAGCTTAATCAGGCATCTAGAGTAGGGTAAACAAGAAATATACAATGTAAACACAGATCAGTTCCACAGTTAGAAGGTGTCCCACCTAAAGTTAAGTACAGGCATGCTCTAAACCACATCATAAGACCTTAAGTCCAGTTCAAGACGAGACTCTCCACAGTGAATCAACGCCCACAGTGAAGTCAGACACTGAGCAAACTGCAAGAAAAGCTCATAAAGAACACTACGAGATCTGGAGAGCTGAAGATGTGACTGTCCAACGATTCAGCATTAGCCTCTGGTTCAAGGTAAGTTACAGTAATTATTTTTCTGTGTCATTATATGATTGCAAGTCATACTGTAGTAATGTAACAAAAACTGACTGACAGTCAGCACTGAAAAACTGTTAAGATTTATATTTGATATCACTAAAAATTTACATCATGAACATGAAGTTTGATAAGGTCACAAATATTACTATATTGTTAATTCATTCATTTTAATTATAGAATGTTGTTTATGCTGTATTCACCATGCTTTTATATATATATATATATATATATATATATATATATATATATATATATATATATGTGTGTGTGTGTGTGTGTGTGTGTGTGTGTATGTATATATGTATGTATATATATATATATATATATATATATATATATATATATATATATATATATATATATATATATATATATATATATATATATATATATATATATATATATATATATGCCTGTTTAAAAACCGCTGCCCTTAGGTCAGGTTAGTGGCTGAATGTCTTTGCCACACCTGGGCAACTGCCACATAATATTAGAAGAATTCTTATGTTATATGGATTATTATTATTATTATTATTATTAGTAGTAGTAGTAGTATTAGTATTTACATATTTATGTATTATTATTATTATTAGTAGTAGTAGTAGTAGTAGTAGTAGTAGCAGCAGCAGTAGTAGTAGTTGTAGTAATAGCAGCAGCAGTAGAAGTAGTAATGGTAGCAGTAGTAGTAGTATACATTATTGTACAACATTGCTATATAACACTGACGAATAAGGAATGACAGAAATTGCAACTACAACTATATTATACACTGTATAAAAAAATTTAAGAAAAGTCAGATGTGAAATATGTAAAAACGCTACAATGTCAGTTTTACACAGTTAATGGTTAACAGTGTAGTGGACTGATGTCTGACAAACAGACAGCTGCAGCATGACCACAGCATAAGTTTGTGTGTCTATACCGAAGCATGTGTATGTGAGAGTCCTACTCACCCATCTTCCCGTCCGTCACAACTTTCTCTGCATACATCTTTAGGGGTTTGTAGTAAAACTGGACTACTTCTTTCCTCCTCCTGAAAATCTTAAAATTTTACAGAAAAATCCTGTGTCAAACCAGTAAAAAAAATTTACTCTAGTTTGAACGGCAAATATTACATAATAGCATATTCAGTGCATGATTATAGCTGTGTGATTACAAATCTGTATTTGAGGTTCAATTTTCTTTTTTCAGTTATTTATTAGTTCTTCACATAATGTTATATAGACCAGACCATGGAACCAATACCCATTACATTACACAAAATGTAGCCATAATAATCTAGAGGTCTAACTTGAGAAATTTGATAATTTTTTTTTTTTTAATGAATAGTGTGGCAAGACTAAAACAGAACTAGGTTGGTTTTAAATAAATAATACGTACCGACAGCTTCCCCTTAAAAAACAATTATTTCATAAAACAAAATGAGGATTCATAACTAAACATATAAGCTATTTATCCACAAGGTGTACCTAAATGCAAAGAGGCTCACCTGTATTTCCTCGAACAGGTGAAGTACTCTGCTCAATAAAAAAGGGAATTATTTAGTCCGGTTTAGGAGTAAAATTCTTTAATAATGTTTAAAATCCACAGAGGATAAATCCCAGTTTGCGTAAATCCTTCTTTTGTTCCGTTCGCAGGTTAGTGACCCCAAAGCGAGAACAAATGAAAAACAGCGTTTTAGCCACAAACAAACTCCTTGAGTCTAACCAAAGCCATAGCCATTCTTCTCCAAAAGAAACGACACTGACATTTGGGGAGATGGGTGTTAATTAGGCCTATTCTCGCTCGTTATTTTCTCGAAGTTATTCCAGTTTGAGTGGCTCGTTTCGGGGCATCGAGCAGTGCGCACTGGAGGGGCACAGCTGACGTCAAGTCCCGTTTGTAAATGGACACAAGGGGGACATGAGTGCACCATTCAAACGGCTCTGCCCCGGGCCACTGCGCACCTGCACAGGTAGACAGCACGATATTCACAGTCTGGCTGACAGGTCTACTGATGCTGATACGCGTGCTATTTGTTGTGTTATAGCTTAGATCAAATGCCTCGGACTCCCCCAGAAATTAAGTAGTGCAGTGGGCTACTGAAGTCTGCCATTTCCTATAGGCCTACAAGCACAACACGTGACTATAACACGTGATCCAAATTTTACTTTTGCTGAGGACAGTTTATCCAACATAACCTACAGTTCAACTCGCTGAACTCTGTTTGGCATCCGCACTCTTGTATGCATAATTCGAAAAAATATAGGCCTACTTAAGTGGAAATTGTAGTGATATACAACATCATTGAAAAGCTGTTCATATTATTAAAACTTTATTTTAGTAGGCAAAACATAAAAGAATCTTATTTACAATGTTGGCCTGGGTGGGAAGCCAGTACAAAGGGAAAAGAGAGGGAGAGGAGAGAAAATCTTTTCCATTATTTCTGAATATACAAAGAAGTCTAACTGGGGAACACTACATAAGAACAGTGTGCATTCATTACACCCTTGTGGTCAGTCGACTAAACTATTCAACTTCCTTTTTTCAAATTTCCTTTTAAGTATAAAAGGGAACTCATTATGACACTTTTTCTCTGTAGAAGTCGAAGAGTCTGGGCAAACAAATAAGACTGATCCAGTATTTTGCATTGACTAAGCAGACACAGGTGAAGATTCTCAAAAGTGAACCAGTAGAAAGACCAGGATGGAGACCTACATAACTCAAATACACTGGATTGCTCTTATCATCTCTCTCAATGGTAAGTCCAAGCTCCAAACTCTAGAGTAAAGTTTTTAAACATTTCTAAGGGTGTACCAAAGTAGATTTAGTAGTGGTTTTATTAAATTAAAACTGCTCAACCACTACTATCACGCCACCATACAAATTTCACTTAAACATCAAGTCATTTTTGCAGTAAAAAGAAATACTATGATTGCCAGGGTTACTTCATCCATCCCTACTAACATACAGAACTGTAGTGACTTTTATTAGTTTTAGTTGCTTGTTCTAATGCTTTAATCTTCTGTTCAGGTGTTCTTGCTGGTGAGTGGTCGGTGAATGTTCCAAGTAAGATTTGCACTGTGACTGGCTCCTCGGTGGTTCTACCTTGTTCCTATGACATTCCTGAAAGCAAAGATGGACACCAGGTTGAAGTCAAGTCTGAAATGTGGTGTTTAGGAAATGAACACTGTATTACACCAAGGTTAGTTTAATATTTACTGTGGAACCAAACCTTATAACATGTGTTGATATCACCTCATGATCTTCTTGTTTCAGATATGTTTACCACAGTGCAGGCATCTTCCTTGAGCCATTGTACCAAAATAGAGTTGAGTATCTTGGAAAACTGGGATCAAAGAACTGTTCACTAAAGATTTCAAGTCTGCAAGAATCAGACGGTGGAACTTATGTTTTCTACCTCATCACCAACCACACAACTGAGAAGATGCCAGCGCAGAAGGGAATTCAACTACTGGTGTCAGGTGTGCCCAAGCCCTCAAAAATAATTGAGTGTAATCAACAAATGTATTTTTGAATAAATATAAATAAAGCTCTATATGTGGGGTAAGTTGTTCCCCACCGACTGTAAGGGGGCTGGTTCAAATTCCATCCATAGTTTTATTATTATATTATATAAATATTATTCATCCATATCATTGTATTTTAGATTTTGTCAAAATGAGAATTGGGCCTAAACTTTACAAAACCTGGAACCTAGACTAAAGCATGACAAAACCAGAAATAAAACAGGACTGATCCAGGTCTGTATCAAATAAACAGGGACCAATCTGAACACAGTTTTAGTCAAGACCATTTGACTTTGTTTTTGTTTGAGGGTAAACGAGCTTTGGCAATTTGTGGCTCAATACCACCTCATATTTAAAGCTGGTTTTGAGGTAATTATTTAGAAATATGTTTTGTTTTTCTTATGTCTTAGTCTGTTGTCACTCAGTACATTAAATCTCCAATGACTAATAACTATTTTTTTCCAGGTTCTCCTTCTGCTGTCTCAGTATTAGCTGGTCCTTCCTCTGTAATAAGGGAGAGACAGTCCGTCAGTCTGTCCTGCTGCAGTCCTGGACAATCACTGGGAGTTCTTTGGTTCAAGTCCTCCAGCTCAGAGCCTAAACACACTGGATCAGAGTGGACCATCAGCAAAGCTTCACGTGAAGACTCAGGGAGCTATTACTGCCAAGTCCAGACCAAAGACCAAGTACTGAAGTCAAAAGAGCTGATTCTTGATGTACAATGTAAGTGAGATGACTTACGTATTAGAGATAGGGCTGGTATTTGCAGTTTTAAGCGTTCAACTATGAACATTCTGCAAAGACAGGTATTTTGTTTAAGCTGACAAACTTCTTAAAGAGAAGAATTGAGCAATATTTTAAAGTTGCATTACTTTACTGGGGAGGGGTCTGTCACTTGTTTGTTCCCATGGAGATATTGTTGCTTTGTCTAGAATGTTACACAGTATGGCATTAAAATATCTATTTTGCTTTCATTGAGGCGTTGCTCAAAAATATCTTGCATTTACTGTGGGTGAGGCTGCCTTTCCACAGATCTTCCGTGTAACTTTTCCTTCTGGGGCCAGTTGCTTGTGTCCACATAGAGACAGATACGTTTTATACCATACTGTGGAATTTTCCAGGCAAGCAATAACATTTCAGTGGAAACAAGCAGTTGATGAAGCCTCCACCCAAAAAGCTGCATAATGTACCTTTAATATTTAAGTTGAATATTGAAAGATCACTACAAAAAATGTCATTATCCTCTTTTCTTATAGGTTACTTGTAAAACAGTGCTCCTGCATGAGTGAGGGATTACACAGACTAGTGCTGTGGATGTCAAAAAATTAAAAATAATAAACATTTATTCTTTTCTTATGTAGTTTATCAGGTCCTACATATCTCAGCCATCAGCTGCTCAAGATTTTAATAAATCTGTAAAAGTGCTGGGCATTACAAAAAAACATAAAAACCTATATCGGTCAATCTCTGTATTCTTTTTATTAAATAAAAAGAATACATATCCTTTGTCATTGTGAACAACTGTAGACTTAGACAAACACCAATATAAATGGTAATAATAAATTCAAAATAAGAGTGTAGTGTATGACACATGGCACAGATAGACTATTAATTATTTACTTGAATTTTTTCATAGACCCCCCACAGAAAACCATACTGTCTTCATTCATGTATACTGCAGAGGAAGGTGTTGTCACTCTGACCTGCAGCAGTGAAGCTAACCCTCCTGTCCACACATACACCTGGTATAAGGGAGCAGCCTGTGAGTCTGGGGCAGACACTAGTTTTTATAAGTCTGTCCTGTCTTTGGCCTCGGAGACAGAAGGAGGTCTCACTCTGAGCAGAGTCAACGCGACCTCTGACGTCAGTGAAGAGCTCTGCTGTGTGGCCCGTAACCGACACGGGTCACAGAAGAGCTCCAGAGTCAGCAGGAAATCAGGTACAAAGTGACAACTATCTCGAATGGTCAATAGAAGCTGTATTAGACTTTATTCTAATGTAAATATGCATTATATTCACCAATTACAATTAGTGCATATTTTGAGTGCAATTTAAAGCACACTTATACTCTTGGTTGAATCAAAATAGATTTTAGCTAGATGCATGTTTGTAAAGTGAACAGGATGTAGTATTTTTGGCTTTTTATTAAAAAATTTTGTTTTCATCATTTGTCATACTTCTTACTTAAATGTATTTTCCAGTCTTATGTCTGTTACTGTGTGTTCTTTATATAGAAACATCAAACTCCGGAAATAGATTGGTGTTTCTAGGAGTGGCTATTGCTGTGCTGCTAGCAATTATTGCAGTCATTGCTTTTATGATGAAAAGGTATGTAATCTAAATTATTTTGCCTTAACACATTGTTTATTTTGAAGAATTATTTTTACTTGGCGTAATGTTTTAATTATAGACATTTTACTGTTGTACATGTTATAATAAATATTCTTATTTTGTTTTCCAGAAAAAATAAATCTTCAAGGAACCAGTCATATGCTCTAGCTGCAACTACTTCTACAGAACCTTAAACAAAAATATTTTGGACTATAGCTAGTTTTCAAGTTGTGTTTCTGGCACAGTGGCATTGAAAGAGCAAGGATTTTTGGAACTACAGTCCACAACCAAAGACATAGCCAGATTTGGGTATTGTACATACGCATGTTGTTGAACTGTGTCATATTTGTATAGCTTTAAATAAGCTCAAACATGATAAAGACTGAAGAAAACTGAAGGAGGAGGGAGACCATGAGGACAGTGACTCGGACAAAAGGACAATGCACTGATACAAGATCCATCCCACTGCTCCCCCAAGGACTATTTTTAGATCAAAACTTGAAGGAATGGGACCAAATAATTATAACTGCTATCACTCCACAATGTATTTTTATGTCATCAGTTGTACCATTATAAGTTTAATTACTTTGAGTCAATGTTTACTATTATGAATTAGCTGTTTTGTATCCTACTGTAGGTCTATTTGCATTTTTACGTAAAATAAACGCTTGTACACAAGAGGGCGCCAAACACCTGCTCATCTTACCATTATCCACTTTTTTAAAATGACGTTTTACCCAGTTTATCTCCTACCATTTAACGATCCATTTTTTACAAAACGTTTGAATGATAAATTATTTTACCATTACCTTTATGAAACAAGCAACAAGTTTTTATATTCTTCTGCAAATGTTTAACTTGCTTCCTGTAGCTTTTGTAGTTCAATATTTAAGAAAAATACATTGAAATATTTCTTTTGTTTTTTTGTATTACTGTATTACTGTACTGTAAGTTTTGCATGAGGGCAGATGTAACTGTCAAAGAAAGCTAAACATGATTATACTGAAAAAGACTTGAATGAGTGGCGAAACATATTCACTCTTAATGATCCTATATTACACAAAATTGATTCTTGTGAGCTTTAAGCCATGTTATAATGTTGTTATCTCATCAAAAGCATATCCGGAGTTATGTTTTGTTTCATTCACATGTTTAATTAATCCTTTTTTATCAGTCTGTTTATATGTCTCCAAATTTCAAAATTCTCTGCTCTACCTTGTGATGTCATGTAGTGGTAGTTTTAAAGTTAAAAGAGTTTACTTTTTGCTCAGTGCAGACTGGTAAATCCAGAGCTGAAATGATCCAAATCATTCCGGTGAAGATGTATGGAGTTTAAAAACATAGTGGAACACTTTCTGTATTTCCACATGACATCACAAGGAGGAACATCTTGAAAAGAAAACAGCGTTAATATGTAGGGTTTGTGTGTTAAACGTGTCAATGAAACAAAACACAACTCCGAGTATGTTTATAACAAATAAAGTAATATGGTCCTTTTAACACTTTTGTCCAGCTGACAGAATACATTTTTGATGATTGATTAAAAATATTTCTACAGTAGTGGTTGACTTTCTGAGACCCTTTAGAGAAGAACGTCACTACAATGTATTGTTAGAATGTATGTCAGTCTTTGATGGGTAGAGAGAAGCCTGAGATTTGTAGCAGGCAGCCTCCAATGAGCGTCTCTAGTTCAAGCCTGACCAGTTTGTCTCGTTTCAAACTCTTGTGAATGAGGAAGATGTAAAGTGTTTCCAGTCCACACGACTGCAGGAAGATGTAAGCAAACCAAAACAGGTACTAATCTTTTAATACTAAATCTACTAATTTTTCTCTTTTAAAGATTTTATTACAGTAATGACACATATAGGAGGATTCATATTGATGTTGTAGTTGACGAGCTGTGATAAGTAGTTTGTATATTTATCTCAACAATCTACAAAGCTAAAATATATCACTGGGATCTCTAGCTTTTTACCTTTTTGCTTTTTAAAGCTCTAAATGGGGTATGTACAGTTATTAAGGATTTAAGAGTGCAGAGAGTTATACATCTGAAGTATACATTTACAATGATGATAGGCATGTCATGATTAAATTTTTTATTATTCAGCATAATTTCAATAATTAAAATCTAAACCCTTTGGGGAACTACTTGGAAAGTGATGGAGAGCTCTGGTAAATATGTAAAGAATATGTACAATATGGCAGCACTTAGGATACAAAGCAGAGTCCTTGTCATATCACTTGTAATATTTGAAAACTGTAATTACAATAAACTGTAAAAATAAGATGCTTGGTTTGTCACTATGGTAACACGTATTTTTCTTTCTGATGCTCACAAAGTTTTAAACACAAATCAGAGCCAACAGAACAAATCAATATGGAAAGAGGTGCAGAATTGTTTGCGAGGAAGAGCATCTTTGTGATTCTGGCCATCCTCCAAATCACGAAACACACCTCAGGTAATTATTTCACAGAACAACATTGCAGTCTACAAATAGATTTTCTATAAACGGATTAAACTCACTGATTAAACTCAAATACACTGTAGGCAAGATTGTGCAGCAATGTAGTGAAGAGTATAATACAAGATATCAAATGTAGGCTAACCCAAAAAACTTTAAGCTACAGCTGAGATTTTACTTACTCATGTGCAAAAATAGATTTTCCACTTTTGAAGTTAGTGACAAACTTGACACCAAATACATGGGTTCTACAGCATATTTTTTCTGTAAAGGCTTTATGTCGTAGAAGAAAAGCTAATTATAATGTTATTAATATTAATGTTTTTATGACAAGATTATCACTCTGTTTAGTCTGCATACTACGTTCTCAAAGATGTAAAGTTTGTTGACCCAAAATACATCATGAAATTCCTTTTTCTTTTTCAGCTCAAACTACCACAACTCCCTCCTCCAACACCACACTCTCCCCCTCAGCTTCTGTCCCACCCTCCACGTCCTCAGGACCGCATCCTGGCTCGTCCCAAAGCTACCTAACTCTGCCCTCAAACATAACGGTGGGACTGGGCGATCCGGCACAGTTCCGGTGTGGAGTCCCCAAAAGCTCTGAGGGTCTCACCTTCACTTTCTATGGAAGTGCTCATAACTACACCCTCAGCTGCCCCAACGGACACATAGAGGACATACCACAGGTCAAAGAACATTAATAATAATAAAACAATCTAGGCAACTTAAATACTGTATATGGACTAACTGACAATTTTGTCTTTGTAAAAAATATAGTTTGAACATCAGTTTAATACATTATATTTTCATATATCCATATATGAATTTTTGCTATGGAAGTTATGCCCTTTACTTGACATCTATTGAGATCATTACAGTACCATGACTTTGTAATGTCTTTCCAGGCCCTTGAGGGGTATTGCCAGGTACATTTAGAAGAGCTGCTGGCTGGGTGGGTCCTAAAAGGCACATCTTTACCAGACAATGGTATAAGAGTTGTATGTCAACGAAGCGGCCACCCGGCTGCACCCACAGCATACTTGTATGTATATGGTAAGGTTAATTTATCCAGCCTTTTAGCCAGAAATGAAACAATATTAAACTTATTGTTGAGGTTATTTCTTACCAGATAATGGCTCAGGAGATGCTCTCCTGATTGGTCTGGCTATTGGAGGATTTTTCGGTACAGTAACGGTGTTTGGTTTGTTCTACCTGATGCTGACAAAATCTGAGAGGCTCCGTATCTGCTTTAGTGGTGAGAATAAATAAGTCATTTTCATTTTATGTTGTATAAGTTCAATACAGATTATAATGGTTTATAATGTATTGTTCCTTTCTTTAGGTAAAAACAACTCACCAGAAGATATGACAGAAATCGTGGACAACATTGAAGCCACTGCTACGTCTCCTATGCCCACCCTTAATGAGAAAATGAGAGATCTTTGATGATTACACATGTCCATATTCCTTGTTAAGCCTGATACTTTGAACCAATAACATCTATTAATGAAATATAAATATAAATATAAATAGTGTGGCTCCACAAATTCTCAAAACATGAAGGCTTTTTATTGTATTATTTTTAAATAGAATATGCACACAGCACTAATTTCCCCCCAAAAAAACTCTGCTATGAACTCTTATTATGCTTGTGTTTGTGTCTATATGAAGAATGTTGTATACTGAAGATCAAATAAAAGATGGTACATTTGTGCTTCTTCAAAACTTTTTCCCCCTTCAGTCTAATAATTCAGTGTTACTCCCTCTAGTGGTCAAAACTTTACACTTCACCATGAATGACACAGTTGGAAGAGATGATGTACACAGTGGTCAGGATTGTCAATTGATACATAGGCATACACAAAAGAGTCACTACCAAAAACAAACCTTTTAAATCACTCAAGCAAGAACAGAATATAGGCCAAATATGGGTAAGAAATAAATAATGCAGTAAGCAGTGGCAAAACGGGTTATATTACTTTCCTTTTAACATAAACATAAAAAAAAAAAAGAAAAATAGGGCTATAGGATCATATTACCTTAACTTATTGTGAATGTAGGGTTTAATCAGTTGTTGCTTTTCATTAACATTTGGTTTGCCATCACTAACTTTGATTTGTTGTGTTTAGTTTCGTATATTTTTAAATTCTACATTAACAAAAGTACCTTTTAGGTATGTTGTTATTTATTGATGCACCGGGGAAAACAATGAAACAACTTTTAAATGTCTAGAATATAAAATAAAGCTTTGCAAATTTTTTGTACCACATTGCCCTTGTCTTTTTTTAAATGTCAGAACAAATTGTGCGATTAGATGATAAAAAGTATGACTCTAACCTACCCACTCAGTTACATCTGAACAAAAATAGCATTATACTTCATATTCATACTTGTACTCTTACTCACAAGTATTGTCTGAGTCAAGGAATGATTCCTTCGTCTGTGGTCCTCAGTTCATCAGCTCGTCTGGTCCTTCATGTTGTGACACCTGACAGAGGTCACACACACCACACACAGGCAGCGGCCCACCAGCAGGGGGCGTCTCTCCAATGACCCTGAATCACAACAGAAACAGAGCTACATGTTTACACAGCTGTTCACACGCCTCATGCAACTTCATGACACTTTCTGATGTCTGTCTACACTCTCTAGAGCAAAACACAGGGAATGGCATAAGTGAAATGCTTAAACAGTCAAATCCACAAACTATACAGTTGTAAAAGAAAATGTATTGCATTTGAATTTTCTACAAAGCTTCTGCAACTCTGGGCCAAGGCAGGGCATTCACAAAAAGACACAGAATACACAAAACTTTTACACTGATCCAATGAAAACAATTAAAATTTACAAATACCATCTGGCATCATCAAACTGTTTTTCAGTTATTATAAAGTATAAAATCATGTATTAAAGTTTTAATTGTTGATAGAATAAATAAACTTTTTGTATTAACCTTCTTGAATATAAAGAGTACAGACTTCAAATTTATTGCATTAACACAAAGAACAGCAAAACTTCTTCCTCCAAACCATACACTTTTACTGAGAGAGGATTGACTATAGACCCCTCACTGAAAAAGAGGCAACAAATCATAATTTTTAATGCATAGACCAACAATGATTGTTTATTTGACTTGGATGTAGTGAGTGATTTTCCTTTAACTGACTTGTGTGTACATTTGAGCCCTGCAGCTTCTTGTTGATGTATAAACAGCACAAATGCCACCATCACAAAGGCCCGTGCTGAAAGTGTCAGCAAATCTCTGTGTGTCTGTGTGTGTAAGCAGATAACATAACACATGATAACCTGCATTGTTCACTGTGTGTTTGAGACGACCTCTAACGAACAATGTCCTGTGACAGTTAACTAAATCAACAATAGTTTAATGATTGGGATGAGCTAAACAAGGCATTAAAGCAGTAACTGACAGAAGAGACATTTATGACTTCCTCCATAAAAATGCATTGATATGGTTGACTGACACTGAAATGTGAAGAATTCATTTTAGTATATGAAGGCAGAGTAGGCCCATATGTAGTGTTTTCTTCATTGAAAATAAGGTCTATTCCAAATATGTTTTCAAGTAAATGTGATGTTACTTGAAATTATGCAAGTAAACAAAAATTAGTACATAAAATACAGCAGGTTTGTACTTATAGTACTGTGCTAATAGCACTTATAGATGTTTGGCATTTATTCAACATCCTGAAGTGGCATGGCACCCAAAAATGCATAATGTGAAAAATGTATAGCATGTTCAGATTAGTTGAATTGTTAGGAGGACCACAGCCTCAATAACAGACAGCAGGTGTTGGGCACTTCCTGTGCTGTAGCCTGAGGGATAATGTCATATCTAAATATGTCATGTCCTCTAAACATTAGCCTACATAGACTAAAAGATCACGTGTTGATTGCATAAAATATTTAAGTCCCCTCAATTGTTTGTATAATCACTATTGAAGCTTGAAATTATATCCATAGCACCAGGCCCCACACACACTCAGAGCTGGGCTAATTTTGTCAGTGTCATGCCATTGGCAGGGAACAAAGTGACCTGCAGCAGGCTTTATGTAGACATGAAAGTGCTACTGAACCTCAGTCTTTTCCCCACGTCAAAAAATGCATCATTCAAAATAATAAAAGATATATTTACCAATATTTTATTATTGCTGATTTAACAGCTCTTTCCACATTTCCACATTGACTCTTGTGAAGTTGCCCATTATCACTAGTGTCAGTGTCTGTCTCATTGTCACCAGAGTTTTCTCACTTATCAAGAGGCCTTTCGAGTGACTGTATAGGTATTAATAGCTACTTTCACCACTGTATTCTTATCTTCCATTCTAGACTCCCAAAACACAGCCACCTAACAACTGCAAGAGTGAGCCTGTTCACAACATAGTTTTGGTTTTCTTCATAATATCGATAAAACGTAATCACAAAAGAAACAAAAGGAAACTAAATTTTGTGATGTTTCTTGAAGCTACTGTTAAAATGGACCATATAAGCTTATGTTATCTACAGTACACAATTTTACTCTTATTAGCCTTAATATTCATGTTTGCAAACACAGTAGGTCATTTATGTGGTTCATCAGATGTGCTCTGATAATCTGAAGATGAAGTATGTGAGCCCTACTTACAAAAGGAAAATGTCTGTCAACCATGAGGTCAACATGAACCCTTTAACACAGATGGAGTTACCTAGACACCTGGCAGAGAGGTGGAGAAAGGGAAATCAGAACATGAGCAAGAAATGGCAAAGTCTATTGTTCTAATTGTAAATACAAGACTTATTTTTTCATCCTACAACCAAACAAAGCAGAACTTAACATACTGCACAATTGTGATGGTATATATTTTACAAACAACAGAAGAGGTAAAAAAAATAAAATAAATAAATAATAAGAAAAAAGATATTACTTCCAAATTATAAAACTTAAGGTTGAAGAAAAAGTACTTTGTAAAACTATTCCTGAAGGGGAAAAACATCTTTAGCAGACTCTACAATTTGTAAAGGCAATTGTTTCACATAGTTTCTAACTATTACAAATATGCTTGTCTATCATTCAATTCTTGTGTTTCAAATAATATTTTCATATAAAAAGTTCAGTTGTTTGACTTTACAGTGAATTTGAGAATATTCCTTTAAGTTGATAAGTGCACACTGTTGTTTATGCCATAACACTGACAGTGGCCTCTTCTATGTACATAAACAGGGTAGAGCCATCATACAAATTCAAGCACTGTTCCACTGCACAAATGTTTTTATTTGAAACAAAAAGGAGGAGCTGCAAATATCAAATCAGCTAAAAACATCAAGACGCACTTTAGTCCTGACAGTGAACCTTTAGTCACGGTCGTCTGCATCATCAGTAGCTCAGGTAAGTGCAAATAATGTATTATTGAAATTTGGGTGGGATTACATACATACATCTAGTCTCTGTGTAACCATTTGTTGGCCTCAATAGGCAATACATTCAAAAGCCTTTTAACTTATAATTGTAGATAAGTAACAACAACTTTCCTTGACCTGATCATTACAGGTAAAGGTTGATGTTTGCGCTGTTGAAAAGAATCATTAAATTATACTTAGTTGTCATAAAACTTCAAGTTAATGCAACACTACTTTAACTACTGTTAATAGTTAAATATTTAAATGAGAAAATACTTAATGGTCTCATACCGACATACCCAGAGGCTGAGATAAAAATCTAGATTGTGAAGTTGTGTAAAAACCTTCTGAGTTTTGTCCCATGACAAAATTTCATCCACTGTTTACTCTCTAAACACCCACAATGCACCCCTGTTGATGAGATCCTGCAACTAAAATATAAATCTTAAAGCATGTAATGCAAGTTAAATTATTTTTAAGTTATGAAATCTTTTACTTTCATTATTTATTTATTTATTTATTGTAATTTCAGGTCTATATTAACCATGGGGAGGCTTGGTTTTGTGACATTGCTGACAGGTAAGAAACACAACAAGCAAAAGCAAAAGTATTTTTGTATATTGTTGCATTGATATAATACATTCTTATTGCATGTTAATTTTATTTTGTGCAGCCCTCTTTGCCCTTTTTATGGAAACTGAAGCAAGTAAGGCCAATATTTCACAATAACACAGTACATAGTAATAATCTGTGTAAAACTGTTGTTGCATTGTAAACTGATTAATTCTTTATTTATTGTTGCTTTTATCTCTTGTTGCTGCTTTTCAAATCTGGCAGATCCCTTTGTTTACAGTAAGTATAATATTTACAGTAGGCTATATGGTGGTGCACATATTTCCGACTACAAATATTGAAACTGATGCTTATGTAACTATGCAACATCTAAAACACATACATCTTTATTTACCAGACTATGAAAGGTTACGAATTGGGGGCCTGGTTTTTGCCTGCTTGCTAATTGCTGGAGGAATTGGAATCATCATTTGTAAGTGAAAGAAAGTCACACACCATAGCTGTATTTGGACAGAAACCCAACACACCAGCATGTGTCCTTATGCTTGTTTTTCTTCATTTTGGCAGATCACAAGTGCAACAGAGTTCCCTTGAAGTAAGAATTTAACACTTTCAAGTAACTGTGGTGGAGTGTTAAGAATCTAAGATCTAGAAACTTATATATATATATATATATATATATATATATATATATATATATATATATATATATATATATATATATATATATTTTTTTTTTTTTTTAATTCTATTGCCATTTTGACCATTAAGAACAATGAAATCTTTGCAGTAATAGTAGTAGGCATAGCTGCATTTGTGGTTGTATGTTTGTGTAGTAGCAGTCATAGTATTGGTCAAGCAGTAGCATCAGTAGCAGTCTATCAATCATTGCAGCAGTGTTGGTAAAAGTATTAGTAGCCGACCAGTTCTAGTGCAGTAGTGCTAACAGGACCAGAACAAGTAGCAGCACTACAGTTGTAGTAGTAGCATTTGAAGTTGCAGTAATCCATTTAATTAGGATCAGATTTTGAATTAATCCATCACTGCATGCTATTCTCCCTCATTTTTGTCTCACCTTCACAATCTGTTGTACTAACTGCTGTCCTGTCCTCTTGTGTTTTTCCTCTCCTTTCAAACAGAAAAGTAGAAGATGATGAAATTTGATAGCGCACCTGACCAGACAGACCGGTTCGAGCCAGGAAAAACGCGTTAAGACAAAAAGAGGGTGGGTGATGGGAAGGAGGGGGGATGACATGATGCCACCTGTAAAGACGTGCGCAAACAGACAGCTGATAAGAAAATGCTCCAGTAAAAATCTCTATAGCTTCACTAATTTATTTTAGACTGTAAATCAAAGACGGAAAAATATGTGTTGTCCATAGGCTACTTGAAATAACTTTGAAGCTCTTTTATTCACATTTTGCAATTAGAAGTAGGCCTAGGTTTCATGCATTATTGGCAAATTTTATTGCTTTATGCAACACTGTACATTGAATTGATCAAAACATATAGTCTTGAAATTGGAATATCCAATCTATGTTTGCGTTGTTATGTTATGTTCCTGTTCAATAGGCCTATAGTAGAAACCAGTGGTATACTAGTGATTGTCTCATTAGCTAGAGCTAGTAGCTAGTAGTCTACACATGTGTTAGACTAATTCTTGTATTAAGCTTTTTAATCTGTGTACCTATATGTAATTTTGCTGGATTTATCTTTAAAGAAAGTACCAAATGCCCAAGGCCTAAATAAAACCTACCGTGCTCAAACTAAACTTTGCATTTTCCTTTACTATCGTTGTTGTTCTTTGTCACTTTACCCGATAACGTCCCATTGCCATCTAGGCTATGCAAATAACAGTGGAAATTTCCCTGCAATCGTTCCCGACAACCAAAGTATAAACTCCAGCTCCTCCTCCAGTTCAATACTGACCCCAGATCAGCCGTACGCCCCTCTGCGCGCGTAGACTTTTACTTACTACACTCGTGAACGAAGCGAACTCTACTGACTCCAGATCAGGACTTTGTAGCCGGACTCCCTCAGTTATTACTCGGCCCCTTGAGCTAAAACCAAGCCAACCTGTTGAATGTAACAGTGTAGAAGGGTGTTGGCGCCTTACGCACGCAGTTACATCCTGTGAGGGAGAGAGATTTTGACGCTGCTGGCTGAGGTTTACTTACGGGGGTAAGTCTGCGACAAAAGGCATGATTTTTGCGTTTATGATTTTTGAAACAAGTTTAATGACGTTTTGGGCGTCAGCATAGTAGCTTCTTGAAGTTGTAAAGTTGTGTTCATTCTTTAGTCAAATTGTCTCCGTGTGGGTGATGTAAGCGTGGCTTGATAAATTTAAGATGACAAAGTGTCCTATCCACCATCTTGTACTATGAAGATTCAAAACTGTGCAAATGAAAAACTAGGTAGTACATTATAATTAGAAATGATTACATCCACTTTTTGGTGAGTAAGCCACAAAAGTTTACATTTCAGTTAATGTTTAGACATCAACCTGGATTTGTGTTTTTGGCCGTGCGCTATGTATTCTTTTTTAGATTTCCTTATTATTCTTGTATAAGAGCATACGATTAAGTGAATTTTGCATTATTCACACCCCTCTGTTGGGCGAGCTCAGTATGAAATGTCCAGCTGATAAAAGGGCAGCTGTGATATTGGTTGGACCTGCTCAAATGGCACTGGGACAGAACATGACAAGGGCAAAAACAGACAACTGAACTATGCTATGCTGCTGACTGAAGAACAAATGGATCAGGTCCTCATTTAATTTCTCCTTGAACTGGACTCAACAATCCAATTGTAACATAGCATAATGTAAAGCTTAGAGAAATAATGTATTCTATACCATCTTCTGTATAAAAAAAATGGGCTACAAATGTATTTTCTTTAATGATTCTTTCAGCACTGGACAATGCATTTAAGTAGGTTCATCATATATGTTTAAAGGGCAGTATGTAACATTTCTGGTTTGGACCTGCTTGTCTATGGAGATGTCTGGCCTTTCTCTGGTATGTTCCCTGTATGGCGTTAAATGTATCTACCTTGCATTTATTCTATTACAGGTGTTTTTATTTCTAAAAAAAAAAAACTTGCATTGAAAGCATTAATTCTTACTGTGAATGTGGAATCTCCTCTCCACCAGAAAACTCGTGCATTGTTTTGTGTGGATTCAGACTACAGTGTTTTTAGAATCCAACTGGAGGTCACATTGGTTTCATAAGGACATAGACCAAACGATTACTGTGACTTTGCTTTGTCAAATGAGTTTCCTCTCCTCATCTTTCCCCCATCGCATCACGTGACTCAGGTCTTAAAAAAGGTTGTGAGTGAGAGAAACAATCAAATGGAATGGCCAGAAGAGAAAGCTTTTAGGAGGTGCCCTCTACTCAGATTTCCACCATAGCACAAGTAAATATAGAAACTTCCACAACAACTCATTGATTTCCATGTACTAGTACTACAACCATTTATTTTCTCTGTACGTTGAGCTCGTGAAGTGAGAGACAAGTAGCTAAAATGTTAGATTATTATTGTAAAAAGCACTTGATTAAAGGGGAAAACGACAAGGACAAAATACCCCGAAGCCTAATTGCATTATCCTGATGGGCTATAGGCTTACATACTCAAGAGTAAAATCTGTTTTATGTTGGCTGTATAGAGTAGTCAATGAAATAAACATACACTGCAATGCCTTACTATCTCAATCAACTCATTATCTCAATCCACTCACAATGAAGCATACAAAAACAGTCAGAAAGAATAGTGTTACAATACGATAAAACTACAAATTGAAAAGAAGGGACTTAAACAAATGCTTCTCCCCATGTGGGACAGTTAGCTGCTCAGTGTTAGCCTGTTGCAGTTACCAAAGTGACTCAGAGCTCTAGTATGCTCCACTCTTCTCCTGCCTCTTTTATAATGGTGCTCCTCTATTCCACTGTGTCCCAACTGTTATCGACTCTCTCCCCTTAGGCTTAAATTCTTTCTTCTGTTTTTTTTTTTTGTTTTTTTTTTTTTTACCACAATATGTCCAAAGGGATTTTTTTCTTCTAGTCTACGTATTATTCACTTCCTCATTTCCCTGTGTCTACATACTTTCTGCTTGTCTTTGCTACTAAAGGCAATACAAAATACTAGTTGCTAGGCTGCTATTGCCATGCCATGTCCCTAAGGTTTGTTTCTGTAATTGTTTGGATTCACAGCAGTGATCCCATGTATTGGCAATCACAGCTAAGTCATGATGAGTTGTGTGACAAGTTAAATTATTTATAGTTGCAAACCATGAATAGGCTATATTTTTTATCAATTTCCTATCGTACCATTATCCATAGAAACACCACGAAGTTTATCAACAAAATTCTAGTTTCAACCAGCTTGCTGTCAGGATTGTGGTACTTCAAAATGAAAAATGATAGAAGATTTTTACATTTGTAACATGTGGGAAATACAAGGTTGCTATTGGTTTTTGCTTTGAACTCAGTTAAACCCTATTTTTAAGTATCGATTCTGTAATAAAAGTTGCAAGCACTTTTAAGCTGTCACAGTCTGTTGATTGTCATACCTCATAAAGGTAGTGTGTAACAGAGGAATCTGGCACGGCTAATTTAGGAATAAAACATTCCTGTTAAAATGGGCAGCTGTCTTTGTAGTAGCAGGAACACAGAGCCCTATGTCCAGTGTGGGAGGTGGGTGGTCCATTGGAAAAACATACACTGCTTGAGTTAGTCACATAAATAGTTTGGATGCTACAGTAACATGGAGCATACAATTAACTTTGAATGTGAACGTCAAAGTAAACTCAGCTTCGAACTAGACAAAAGTTTGGTGCAGCTTTGTATGGTTGATATAAATGTATTATACAAATAAAATTATGTGACAAAATAATCTCTCAGTTTAAAACCTCAAGGGCCATGACTTGTTGGTAAAACAATTATATTTCTTAAATGGCCCTATTGCACTAATTTCAGATCTATGTTATAACGTTTCTTGATCGAAATATATCTTGTTTCTTCAACACATGTTTAACACACAAACAGACAGAAAACACTATGTTCCACCTTGTGATTGTCATGCAAAGTGCTCCACTGTGTTTTTAAGCTTCATACATGTTCACAAGAATAATTTGGATAATTTCAACATGGAAATTTCCCATCTCTTCTCAACAAAAGTTAAAAGGTAGCTGTTAACTTGAAAACTACTGCTTCATGACATCACAAGGTGGAGCAGAGCATTTTAAGCTTTGGAGATGTAGACAAGCTAATATTTAAGGATTATTCAAATGTGTGAACAAAACACAAATCTTGATAAGGTACTAAAGTTCTAACATGGCTAAAAGCTCACAAGAGTAAATTTTGTGTAATATAGGACCTTTAACTAAGGGATAATTTACCTTCCTTTTACTTCTTATTATTTACTGGTAAAATATAAACAAAATAATGTCTATTAAATTGACTTATTTTTAAAGCAGAAAAATACAAATATGTAATTTACTTATCTAAGTAGAGGGTTATTCAGTAAAAATGCATTTTTGATGGAATAAGCCTCGTTTGTCTAATAATTGGGGCAGTTCAAGTATAAAGGGAAACTAAGGAGTCAACTTTGTATTTTCAGGAAGAGTGTTTTTAAAAAGAGGATGCTTGATGTGAATGAGTGAAACAGACCTAACAAAGAGGAAGGAGGTGAGCCAAGGACATACAGAAGAGCAGGAATGGACTTGAAAAAAGGAGACTGGGAGGATTAGAGTAGCACAAGTTTGATCAAAACAGGAGAGGCGTGGAGTTGCTGTTTTAATCAAGAGAGCTTTATACAGATGATTTATAGAGGTAGACTGGAGTAGCACAGAGAGAAATGTGGGTAGGGCAAAAGCAGTCTGAAAAGGGGATACAAAAACTAGCTGTTAAAAATAAAAAAAGAGGTTCAGAACATTCACATGAGTCATGTTTTCCACGGTGACCCTAGGCAATGTTGTTGTGGACTCGTTGGAGAAAGAAATTTTGCACAGTGAAGGCCTAAAACAGAACAAATCCATCTTAGTTTAAGTGCTTCTGTTTCAAGTTGTAGTCAGTCTGCTCCTGAATGCAAGGGTGTTCAAGCCTCCAACATTGTCATTTGTTTACACATAGTACATACCTTTGGGCTGCACCTTAAACCAATATTTGCTTTACTTTACAATCTTTGATCTACATCTGTAAAACACATGGTCAGTTTCTCAGTTTATGGGTTACTCAACTTCTGAAGATTTCAGATTTGGAATAAAATCTTTAATTATTGCATATTATCTCAAGATAATACATTTTAAAGGTGCTCATAGAGTGTGTGTGTATATATATATATATATATATATATGTATAAGAGGACATAGCTAATACGCTTCCCTCCTCATTCCAAATAGTTGGGCATGGGCCTGAAGTGGCTCCTTTGAGTTTTTAATAATAAGTAAGTAAGTAAGTATTTATTTATATAGCGCTTTTCACAGACATTTGTCACAAAGACACTTTACAGAGCATTATTCAGTCACTATTGTTATTATACAATAACAGTTACACAGCTATATTAATATAATTGAAGGCACATTACAATTTCTTAAATAATAGGATATGATAAGTATTAAATTGTAAAGAGTTTCCACAGTTTGAAAGACGAGCAGTCCCTGCTCTGACTTAAAAGCAATCAAAATCGTAACCGTTCAATGTGTGCAAAAAAAATCCAGATTGTATTGTTTGGTCATATCGCCCAGCCCTACTTCTATTGAAAAATCTTCACCCTCTCTTTGTAACTGTTGGTGCTGTCAGGCATTTTGGTCCTAAAAAGTTGGTTTATCCTGTAGTTTTTACTTCACTGTTTTGTCCCTAAATTAAGATATGAACATTAATAATGTTGCTAAGTGCCCACCCAGTGCCAAGCCACCTGTGCTTCATGGCTGCAGATTAGCAGATGTAACTGCTAGTGTTGTAAATTCCCCAGTATAACTGTTAGTTTAGTAACAGTTTTTTAGATCAGGCATTCCTGGGCAGCTCAGGGGTCCTTGGGAGCACCATGGTAACGCTGTTACTGGTACCATGGTAATGCTGTTACTGATCATGACCTTTAACCTATCTAAGTCTGTGTCTGTGATAGAGGTGGTGTTTTTTTAATTGATATGTAATGTTCTGATGCTAATTAAATTTATTAACTTGATTAATTTACATGACTGTTGATGTAAACTGTTTAACAGTTATTCATAGACTGATTATATGTGTAATTTTCATTTAGTAATATGATTTAAATGTGCTTATAGATAGGTCAGATGAAAGGCTAGACAAACAGAAAGATACAATAAAGGGCATTAAAGCTCCTCAAATCCATTCCTGTGTTCGTCTTTCCTCTCTGATTGGAGTATTGTGTGGGTAAAGTACATCAGTACAGTACATCGCATCATAATCTACAGTCCCAGCTATCTCCAATAGCTAATGAACTTCATTTGCTTGCAACTGAACTCTATGGGGGACATCACACTCTCTTACTGTATTTCTATTGTACAGTCTATGATGTAACCTTTCTGTTGGGATGGTCGCTGCTTGATTGTCTCCATGGAGATGTTGTTGTTATGCCTGGCATGTTTAACATGGCATTAAACATACTGTCTTTTTTATTGTTAAAACAATACTGTACCTTGAAAAATAATTCTTACTGTGAGTAGGGTCGTCTCAGGTCTGACCCATAACCTGGTGTGGTGGTTTGACCTTGTCTCCTTGGAGTGAGTTTAAACACATCCTCTAGGACATTCCAGGCATACAAAAATGTCTCTATGGAGAGATAACAGACGCTCCACCAGAAAAGTTACAGCGTGCCCTTATTGTTTTATAGTTTTAGCGTACAATATACTGAAAATGATTCTTTTAAAATGGATGGATTCTCCCTCACTCTCTTTGGGTCATTTCTCTCTATTCTGTCATCCACTCCACTCCTTACAGCTCCTCTCTGTCTGGGTGTCTTTATTTTGAGGTGAGCCCTCTCTGTAATGGTTTTGGCTCCATTCCCATCCTCTACATTCCCCCTGCTTCGGCATGGGTTGCTCTGGAGAGAGTTACAGAGAGTAGCATCCTTGTCTTGTCTTTTTCCCCCCCTAAATACCAATAGAAATTAAACTAGATCCTGCCTAATTACTAAACGTTACTTGTATTGTAAAAAAAAACAACAAAAAAAAAAAAATTGGTGTAACTTTATTTGTCTTAATTAAAATACAATTTGAGGTGTTTAATTTTATGTCATGATTCAAAATATTACAAATAGGAAAAAAGGGTTCAGGTTTAGTTAATTGACCTCTTTACCTTAACTTTGACCTCTTTAACTTAAGTAGGAGCTTATTGTTGCATTCATGTAGCAATAAACACTTGACTTGTCTTTTCACATATTGAAAAGACCTTTTAGTAAATACACACATGGTAACATTCTCTGTCTTATGTCTGTTTTCCCAACCCCTCCTCGTGTGTGCTTGTGCCATCCTGTTGTGGGCACGGGGCATGTTTGCTCATGACTGTAGCATGCTGAGTGGAAAGTGCAGCCAATGGAAAATCACTGTAGATCCACAGGGTTTGTCTCCTCCCAGAGCTTCTGCTTCGTCTGCTGCTGCCCTCTATGCCAAACCTCAGGGGTTATATGCCGTTAATGAGAGAGAACATCATTACATCATAACACACAAGATCATACGTAAATCAGTAATAGGCTAGGATTTAACAAGGACCTGACCACGAAAAAACTGTCACAACCAGATCACAAATGTAATTTTATGTCTTATTGGTCTCAGACAGAAAAGCATGAGGTTGTCACTAGATACTCTTTATTGCTCTGTAGAAAACTCTGTTGAATCATCTCTTTGTTGCCTCTGCCAGCTGGTGCCAGTACAACCCTGCTTCCAGATTCCACTTATTTGAAATGCTCTTATTTGGGCTATAGGGCAGAGAGTTGATGGTATCTACCCCAGAATAATATAAGAAGCCACTTGCAAATGAGCCTTCGACTTCGACTATGCTTGAGTGTTTACATACACAGGTAAACACAAGCGTGCATCACTGGAGGCTTGTTATCTGCTTGAATATTTGACTCAAAGTACATATCACAAAGAAAATAGATGTAAAATCTCAGCTTTTTATAAAATGTTTTGTATGTTTGTATTTACATTAATTTGTATTTCTGTTTTTTAGGTTTTCAAGGCTTAAGACTGAAAATGTTGAGAATTATCACATTGGTGTTGATGACAAGTAAGTTAACACTCACATCGTGTTGAGTATATCCAATATTTGTAAACAGACATAGACTTAGATAAACTTTATTCATCCACATGATCATCATATATCAAAATATATTATAATAATAAAGAGCAAAATATAAATTATAATAAATGGTAATAATAAATTAAAAATAAGTAGCAAAAATAACAAGAGATTGGAGTCAAATAAAGCACAACTGTATGAATATGTACAAGTAAAAATTTAATATAGAAATACAAATATATCTCAGCTATACACAAGAGGTCATAAAGAGAAATAATACAAAGATGAAATAATGATTGACAGGACATAGGGTTATCTGTTACATAAGGGTGAGTTGTTGTAAAGTTGTATGGAGTATGGTATGAGTGTAGTCCTGTATCTCACTGTTTGAGCGGAGCTGTAGGAGCCTGTTGGAGAATGAGCTCCTTTGACCCTCTATAGACTCATGCAGTGGGTGAGCAGGAGTGTCCATGATGAAGAGCAGTTTGTCCAGTGTCCTCCTGTCCCTCCCTGCGATGTCTCCAGCTCACAGCCGATCACGTGACCAGCTTTACAGATCAGTTTGTCAATCCATCTGATGGCCCTTTTACTGATGCTATTCACCCAGCATCAGTAAGTCACTTAGTGACTTGGTATGGTACAGGAGACTTAAATTAACTTTCTCCAGCTGCCTTCTCACCTGTGCAGGTGACAGAGACACTGAGCTGGGTTCCTCCATGGGGGCTGGAGTATGGGAGCAGAGGTGATGGGCTTGTGAATGGCCATCTGGGTGTTCTGTGTTGAGATGTGATTGGGCGTATGGGAGTATAGAGATGGGGGTGCCAGGGGATGTGAAACTGAATAGATTTTGCCTTTCTGGGCAATTGTTTTGCTGCTTGCTTTTGGTGTTAAAAACAGTGATGGCCTTCATCTCCTTTCAAACGTCTCTGGTGTTGTTTTGTTGGAGTTTTACCTCCAACTCCCTATTGTAGGCTTCTTGTGGGGTTGACTGTATCCTCACAGAAGTAGATGTAATCTGTTCCACAGTCCACTGTGCTGACGATGTTGTCTTTATGGGGCTGGCAGAGCACATCCCAGTCTGTGGTCTCAAAGCAGTTCTGAAGGGCCTGGCTGTCTTCCTGACTCCACTTCCTTATAGTCCTGGTGGTGACAGACTGCCTCTTCGCTGCAGGGACATACTGAAGAAATAAATGTATTTAAAGGTCTAGTCTGATAATCCAAGAAATATAGACATTCACATATATAGAATGATTAGCTTTACCAAGCTTTAAATACGTTAAGCCCTAATTGAAGACCTATTATTGTTTACATTTATCAATTAACACATATCTTCTGTGTCTTTTATAGTTTTGTCACTTGTCTATGCAGAAGAAGAAAAGGGTAAGTCTGTTACTAATGTTTTGAATGTATCTTCTTGCAGTCAATACCAAAAGTAACAAAAGTAAATGTGGGGAACAATCCAAAAATAAGGATCAAAGTGTATTCTGGGTTTATTTTACATAGAGGCATATTGATGTATGATGTGAATGATTTACTAGGATATCAACTAAGGCTTTGGGTTTATTGCTTTTCAACTGTTATCTTTTACATATTCTGTTGAGTTGCTCAAAAACTCCTGAACATTTTTTATACGGTTACAACCATTATATAATGCTCTTTCCCATTCTTTCTATAGCCCACCCTGAAGATGACCCATTCACATTTGGTAATGTATTTAATTTTTTTATGTTGTTGTATCATCCTAAATTAATGCAGCTGATTTATTCTGTTGTGTCTTCTTATAGACTATCACGAGTTGCGTGTTGGGGGCCTGATCCTTGCTGCTGTCCTTTGTCTCATTGGCATTACTATTCTGCTCAGTAAGAAAATTATTACATTATGAATTAGAACTGAACTTTTTATCCCTAAGGTACACATAATGACCACATGTTCTTTTTCCAGGTGGTCACTGCAGGTGCAAGTTCAATCAGAACAAGAGGTAACACTATTGTGCAAACATAACAAATTAAACATTTATCTTTGTAACTATTTTTCCCCCATTTCTAATTCTTTAGAAGGAGGACAGGAAGCAATGCACAGCAGATGCTCAATGATCAAGGTGGGTGACAATCTTTTTATGTTTTAATACTTTTTTTCACATGTTTCACTGTAAATATAAACAGGGGGATATAGAACTGAAACAATGAAAAAAAAAAGCTTTCTGTTGTTTTGTTTTTCAAAAATGGATTACATTTCAAGGACATGCAAAATTTGATTGTGCCACTACTGTATTTTAATATTCTGGTGACATTCATAGTCACAACTGCCCTTGTTTCTAATGAAATGGACTTCTGCAGTTGTTATTATTGTTTTGTTTGTATTGTCTAAACAGGATGCTCACAACAAAAGAGTCTGGTATCCTCATTGGACTTTCCCTGTATAAATAAAGATAGAGAAAAAAAGAAAACTATATACTCTAATGACTGGTGTATTTATTTATTAATTGGATACATTAATATGATGCTACCTATGCAACCTTTCTAGTACCAGTGGTAGATATTTGATTTTGAAATGACACTTTTCATAATTCTAAAGTCAAAAGTTATATTTGCCCTGTCCATTTGTTAAGTGTAAACACAGACAGTTACATTATGGAAACTACCCGTGCATTTCTAAATGTATCTAAATGTATGCAGTATAACAGGTGCTGAGGCTCAGGGTGCCTGGAAGATGTAGCGGTGGGAGAGCTTTTGCTCCTGTTTCTATTCTTGTAGTAGGACTGTAAAAAAGGGGATTTATTTCAGTGTAGGTTCAGTATATTGTAAAAGCAGTCTACTGTGCACTGTCTGCATCTAATTAGATACAATTTTATCAGTCACAAATCTGGAATGCTGAGTTGAATGTTGAACACTGAGATTAGATTCTGAGGCCTGCTTCTCTTTACCATGTGAAAAAAACATCTCTTTTCTCCATTTGCTATTTCAAAACTGGGCTACGTAGCTTAAATTATATTAATATTAACGTGAATACATCTTTATGAAAAGATCTATTGAGGCCTTTATTTTACACATTAAACTATCAAAATATATGTACACAAAATGCAGCATACGGACAAACCAATGGAGTTGGAGGATTGTAGTATCATATTTAACTTTGCACAATTTTGTGTTTCTAGGTCGTGCTTGTGACTGCTAAATGTGCACCACTCCTGGCTTCACAGACCTGCAATCAAGGCAGAAGTAACTAATGCATTTTTTTAAAACTTTGGTTGGAAGCAATAGGAGGTAAACAAGGAAGTATAGTGCAGAGCCCGTGTAGAGACCTGCGCTTTTTTTTTTTTTTTTTTGGAGCAACAGTCAAGCAATATGAGGGTTTCTGTGGGTTTATCGGCATAAATTATAATAGCCTTTTAATGTTCCAATGCCAATTTTAATAATATAAGAATTACTGTTTTAGACAGTTCTTCACAGCTACTATAAATAATAACATATACAGGAACAAAATCCAACTGTTGTACTTAGGTGTATTAAAATACACATTTTTAATACCCTACAGGAACCCTTAATATAAGCTTACTTTGGTTTTACCTTTATTAAATTTCAAGGTCTGCAAACATCTTATTCAAAACTGTCTATCAAAAATATCTTTTACTGTAACAGAGTGAATGCTTTTTTGTTTATGTTTTGTTTTGGTTGATCTCTGTTGATTGAAAGTTCAACTATACCAAAAAGTAGCCAGAATAGTCTCTAAGAATTGTAAACTAAATGTAGATGTTTTAGATGACTCTGAACGTCTAATCACTTTCCTGTGTGAAACTACAGTCCGTGAAATACTGTTGATAATCAAGACTAATGTGTTTGATATGTTCGGATAGGTGTAAAGGATTGCACTGTTCATGTTTATATAAAATTATGTTGAAACAAATTGTTCTTTTTGATTCATTACACGATACAATAAATTAGTAACATGTAATGCCGTATTATCAAGAATCCAAACTACTCTATTACAAAAACAATGCCAGATACAGATACCACAATTCTAGACTAGAGGAATGACTTTTAAATAGTTTTTAGAATCTTATAATAGATTACAGATTGAATGAATTTACACGATGACAGAGGATAGGCCTCTGTGTAGACAAAATAAATTCCATGACTGTGATAGCAATGTTTAGGCCACATATGACCTTTTTGTGTAATGTTTTGGCCCCATCTACTGGTGTACTCCAAAATGCACTTTAGCTACCTTAACTACACAAACAAAAGCGAACTTTCCTTACGCGAAAGTTTGATGTCAGATTGATTCCCATTCATCATTCACTCACTCACTCACTCTACAACGCAAAACATCAGGGAAAGCTTTCAATGTAACTATAACCTAAGTACACTCATGGGCTGGTTGTTAGTCAGATTGCTTTTTGTAGCTACACCAGGGGGCGCTGTGGTCTGGTCCACCTTATGCAATATCCTTCGACTCATAATCACAAGACAATTTGTAATCACAACCCAAAACATGCTACATAGGTCTCCAGGAAGAACAGCTGATAGCTAAGGTCAATTAAATACAATTAATCAATGAACCTACCCAGGGGCGACAGGTGGAAATTCGCACTGCTGCTACAAACTGATACAATACATTTTTCCTGTTAAAACCTCGTGCACCCCTTTAAAAATAGTTACATCTGTGGTTCTTCGGGACTAAAATGTACATCGAAAAAGAATACCGAAAAAGAATATTTTTATGCTGTACAGATTTTTGTCCAACTTTTTTGTATCAATGTCTTCATTTATTTCTGCTCTAATCATACATCCCAAAAAATATATAATATTTTTTAAATTTTAACCCTTTAAATGCCAGTTCTGACAGCAAAAGTCTCACATTTTATGCATGAAAATTTGTTTTTAAATGGATTATTTCTATATTTTTCAAATCATTTTAATTTGTTTGTGTTGGGGTTATCAGGGGTTGGGGATGTCATAAAATAGTGCCAACACAGATTTTTATTTTTATTATTATTATTATTTTTTTTTTTTTTTTTTGGTTTTTGCACAAACTCAATTAGTTACATCTGTGATCCTTCGAGACAAAAATGTACACCGGAAAAGAACATCGTATATTTTTTTTTATGTAATACGGTCTTTTCTTAAACTTTTTTATATCATTATCTTCATTTACTCCTACTCTAATCATAAATATCAAATATTATATAATATTTTGAAATTTTAACCCCTTAAATGCCATTTTTGACAGCAAAAGTCTCAAATTTTGTCCATGAATAAAATGAATTTTTTTTTTGGATTATTTCTATATTTTTCAAATCATTTTAATTTGTTTGTGTTGGGGTTATCAGAGGTTGGGGATGTCATAAAATAGTGCCAACACTGATTTTTAAAATTTTTGTAGTTTTTGCACAAACTCAAATAGTTACATCTGTGGTCCTCTGGGACAAAAATGTACACAGGAAAAGAATACCACAATATTTTTTATGCAGTACAGATTTGTTTTCAACTTTTTTATATCATTGTCTTCATTTACTTCTGCTCTAATCATACATACCAAATATTATATAATATTTTGAAATTTTAACCCTTTAAATGCCTTTATTGATAGCAAAAGTGTGTGTGTGTGTGTGTGTGTATGAACATTGACGTATATTGGATTGTGTTCTGTATTGTGTATGTGTATACTAAAAGATTTAGTATTTATTTCACATTTGCATTGTGTACAAATGACTGAAAATGTAAATACTATGATTATGCTTGAAATGGTGGACCAAAAAATCACAAAAAATCTTCAAACCTCCAAAAAACTGTCAAATGTAAAACGTTGAACACATTTGAACACACTGACATGAGAAAAACAAGTATAAGTGAAATAAAATTGCAGTTATTCTGCTTTAAAAAAAATAAATTTTCAGTGTTTATCAGTAGAGGCGTAAACAATGACGTATACATACACCTGAAAATGTACACACACACAGGCACACACAAACTCACACACACTCCCAAACAAACACATTCAGTGCATTGTGGGACTCCTCTAGAACACATCCATATCATTTTAACCTCATATAGCTACATCTCTGGCCTTCAGTGTGGAATAATATGTACAAATGTCTTTATATTGATATAACCTTGAAATGGAAGATACACAGTAAAAAGAAAAATATCAAAAAATTCAAAAAGACAACAAAACAAAAAATTTTGAAGGGGTTTCAACACCAAAAAATGAAAAATAAATCAAAAAGTAAAAATACACTGGCAAAGATATGCCAGTGAAAAAAGCTATTTTGAATGGAAGTCAATGGGACAAAAATATACCTAAGGACTAGGGATGTAACTATTTTGATTATGGATCGTAAAATTAATGTGATCTTGAAAAAAGCACAGAAATTAAAAATACATCACAAAATACACAGCCTGGCCAATTTTGGTGTTATTTGGTGCAATAACGCCGAAGTTATGCAAAAAAGAAAAGTTGAGATGTTCAAAAATGTACCTATGGGGTGTAGTAGGGTTAAGGTTAATGTATATTGTACACTTCCCCTGTCTCATTAAATAAATAAACAAAACAAGACCATTTTTATGGGCCTATGTCATTTTCCAGCTATTGGTATGTTGTTTTAAGCTGTCATTAAATGTAAATCCAGGAATGTATTCTGGCATAAAAGTGACACAAAGATAATAGTGGGGGCAGGGGCATGTCTAGACCCCTTTTTAGGGGTGATTCAGCCTGGATTAGACCAAGGAGAAACAAGCACAATCAGAGATAGCAACCTGGTCCCCCATGAGGCATCGGTGGGGGCAGCAGGGCACTCCCATTGCTCTAGCTCGATTCTTCGCAGAGTTATGACCAAAACGCATATTTGACCTTGGTTACCTTCACCTTCAAGTGACCTTGACCGGTTTCAACCAGTAACATCCAGTGTACCCCGGTTATGTATGTGCCAGCTTGTGTGATGATTGGCTGAATATTTTACCTTGGATCGTCACCAAACGTTTTTTGCAGCATCGGGCACGGGGGCTTTGGTGACAATCGGTCCATAAATGGCAGAATTATCATAGGTGGACAGACACACAGACACACACAGACACACAGGGTGAATACAAAATGTGGTCAACCCTTCAGGGACCAAGTAAAAAGATATGATTATCAGAAAAGATGCTGATATTCAGAGAGAATAACAGATAGTGCAAGTCACTTAGCAAAAAATGTCAAATATTCTGCCATCAACTACTATTATTCATTTATGCATGTCACAAAAAACAGGATAAAATATTGTTGTGGAAAAATACATGTATTTAAGACTGTTCCAGGTTTTAGCTGCATGAACCTGAAACGCTGACTCCCCTTGTTTAGTCCTGACTCTGGGCACCAGCAGGAGGCCGGTCCCTGAGGTCCTCAGAGTGCAAGATGGTTCATATGACACTAACATGTCACAGATGGACAAAAGCATATCATTTGACTCAAAAATGCTAGTTTGGGAATCACTGATCTAAACAGATAGATTGACATAAAGAAATAGAGAAAGATGAGTAAGAAAGAGTAATCGGCATTTATGTATGATATTTTTGGTGTGAACATTACACGCACATGTATTGCCCTTGGTCCTGAGCCCCCTAAACTTGGAAGCCTATATCGTCCCAGAGTGGGGGCTATTTTACTCTTCTACACTCTCTGGGATTGGGAGACCAGTAAATTACATTTTTGCCTCTTGACACCTGCCCCTCCACCTGTTTTCAGACTTCAATCATCAAATCTGACCATCTTCTAAATCACCAAACCGGGTCAGATAAGGCACTGCCCCACATACCTATATTAAAAGTGCCATGACTACAGACACTGTATTTTAGCACATAGGCATACTAAACCAACTTAATCCAGTCAGAGGATGTGTAGTTGGCCCAAGAAAAGTTTGTTGTGGGAGTGGCAAAAATAACTTTGCTCCGCTTGACAGGAAACAGTTACTTGAAAACTAGGCTGAAGGTAACAAGGAAAACAAATCGTAGAGGTACCTCTCAGACAGGAGGATCATGGAGAACACGAACGCACCTCCACAGGATAAAGCGGCCAGCCCTTCACAGTACCAAGAAGGGCCTTCAGTGGGATACCAACAGCCTGGTCAACAAGTAAGATCTCGCCTTATTTGGTTATAGTCTTAATCATAATCAGAAGTGATGTATTGCCATTGGCATAATACATTATACAAGTGAGATGCAGTTAGAGATAAAAATGGTAAACCTAAATTTAGTCTTTCTTTAGTCATGTAGGCCTACAATGAAACTTGGACAGCAGCGAGAAGGACCTACTGAGTAAAGCATCTGGCAAGTCCATTACTATTTTTAATTTTTTTTAATCCATCCATCCATCCATTTTCATCCGCTTATCCGGGGCCGGGTCGCGGGGGCAGCAGCCTAAGCAGGGACTCCCAGACTTCCTTCACCCCAGACACGTCCTCCAGCTCCTCCGGGGGAAACCCGAGACATTCCCAGGCCAGCCGAGAGACATAGTCCCTCCAGCGTGTCCTGGGTCTTCCCCGGGGCCTCCTCCCGGTGGGACATGCCTGGAACACCTCCCGAGGGAGGCGCCCAGGAGGCATCCGGAACAGATGCCCGAGCCACCTCAACTGGCTCCTCTCGACGTGGAGGAGCAGCGGCTCTACTCCGAGCTCCTCCCGTGTGACTGAGCTCCTCACCCTATCTCTAAGGGAGCGCCCAGCCACCCTACGGAGGAAACTCATTTCAAGCGCTTGTATCCGCGATCTTGTCCTTTCGGTCACTACCCAGAGCTCATGACCATAGGTGAGAGTAGGAACGAAGACTGACCGGTAAATCGAGAGCTTCGCCTTTCGGCTCAGCTCCCTCTTCACCACAACGGTCCGATACAGCGACCGCATCACTGCCGAAGCTGCACCGATCCGCCTG